TTGCCACCGTGTGTGTGGAACACCGGACGGAACAGACCTTGGCCTGATCCAGCAGGGCTTTTCTCGTGTTCAAATGTTCAAGCTCTGTTTTATGACTGGAGTCATGGTGGTGCTGAGATTTAGGTGTCTCTGCAAAGCATGAGTGCATATAATTTGGGCTGGCAGGTAGTTTTGCTGCTGTTGTAACAGATCAAGAACACTAAAGCAGCTGTGAAGCTTGGAATGCAATGCTGGAGAGGGACAGAAGAGAAACGCAAGAGATAGGTATTTCCCTAGGTGAAGTAACACTGAAAGCTAATAGAAAGCACCTCCCCCCCCAAAAAAAAACAACCCATGAGGGTCTGTGGTTGCCTGGCTGCAGCACTGTCTAGAGGCAAGAAGACTGCAGGAATCCCCCGCCCCCGCCACGGAATCACTGCCTGTGGCCCTCTGGCCACGTGGCCCTTTGTGCGCTTCCCCACCGTGGCCGCTGCTTTTGCCAGAATAGCGACAACAAGCCGCAGTTCCGGAGGAGGCAAGCTGCGTGGGGGCCGCTTCCATCGCTTGCAAGGAGAACGCGGGGGCGTCGCGGGGGCGTCGCGGGAGCGCCGTTTCGCCCGCAGGCAAGGCGTGCGCTCCTGCCCCGCCTGCCTTGCACATCGCCGCCGGTGGCAGCAAATTAGCAGCGCTTGCCGCCGGCTTCTCTCCCCCCCCCCCCGTCCACCCCTTCGGCCAGCCGTGCAATCAGCAGCCGGCTTATGACGGTGAATTATTTTGCAGGGTTAGTACGTGCTGCTCTCTCCTAACGCAAGCTGCGATCTGGGCACAAAAACAGTGGAGTCCGGAAAGCCCCGGGAGGGGTGTCCCCGGGGCGCTTCCGGGCCCCCGGGCATCGTGCTGGAGCCCTCAGTTGCAGCCCAGCGCACCTCGGGAGCATAGCCCGGGACGTGGTCCAGGAGGCAGGGCTGCAAGGGCGAGCGAGGGAGCGAAGGGCCTGGGGAACGACCGCTCCTCCTCTCAAAGCCGCACGCTAAGGCGCTGGTTCGTTCTTCCTCGGGCACAGCCGTAGAGTCCATGTACCGAAATGCCAGCGCTCCTCTGGAGGGCAGCGCAGGCCCCAAGTGCTCGTAGTGGCTGCCCTTCTCGCCCCACTTCCCCCGCCCCAGCAAATGTCAACAGAGCGGCGCAAAGGAGAGCAGAAGTGCCTCCTCGGTGACTCTGGATTGCACGCTGAATTTTTAAGGTTCTCTGGATGGAGACAAACCAACTGGGGGAGGTCTCAGTTCTTAAAAATTAAGAGTAAACTCTGGAGTGGATGCACAACGTAGTTCACGTTGGATCCATCAAATGACTGAATGAAGGTATATTCTTTGGGAATGATTTTGCAATCATTGCCCATGAATGGAGCATAATAAAATGTACTTACAGGACGCCCTTCAGCTACATTTTCCTAGTTCAGATGTGCTTGCAGAATTTACATTCTCATAATTTTCTCTCCCCCGCTCCCTGCTCCGATTTCCCATTCAAGATGCTTTTCAATTTAAAGGTAAAATAACAAGGTCCAAAGCCATTGAACAGAAGTTGATGCACTTTGTCACCTTAAAAAGGATCAAGCGGGCTTCCAATTTATATGGATTTCTTCCCCACCACCGCGTATCTCCAAAATGCAAATTTCCAAAGTGAGATTTGCCAGTCTTTCACAAGCTGCATTTTCTGAATTATTTTAAATTGGAGCCAAATTTCACTTGAGGTTTGCAACCAGCCTCTGTTTCTCGCCACTAGAGGGAACTGTGCGACAAAAGACTTGAAACTTCTTTATTAGGAACCTCTGCTTTTACTAGTCCACGTGCTAAACCAAAACAATCACACCTGGCTCTGTGAGTGTGCATTTCATGAGGATGAGAGGCGAGTATCCATCATACTTCGTAGTAGGATTCCATAACTAAAGGAGGTTAGAATGGGCTGGAAAGCCGTGTGAATAAGGAGTGCTTGGCGGAGAGCCCCGCTAGTGAATCCTGGGCTTCTCAGTCCAATCTGCGATGATCTCAGCCAGGCACCAGAGTGCCAGACTCACATGCCTGCCGCAGAACTCATCCCAGGGCAGCCTCCCAGTGTGGTTCCTGGCACTGTACCCCGGATCGCGTCATACTTTCTGTGCTGCATTTTCCTGCAAGGCTTATACAAAGCTGGCATGTTGGTTTTGGGTGGGGTGGGAGCAGCTTCCGTGGGCACGACAGATGAGTCCTACTGGACTGTTGTGGGCCGGTCCTCCCCTCCTTCCCTCCCTCCCTCCCCTGTGAGTGTGAGAAATATCACGAAGCCGCCTTGCAGGAGCGTCACAGGCCTCGCTGCCCCCTGGCCCTGCCCCAGCTCTCCCCATCTCCTTCTCCATGGCGCTCTCCCTGTTTCCTCTTCCTGTCTACATCTCTGCCCATCGGCACTTGTGTATCTCTCCTGGATTGTGGGCTAACATGGCACTTTTCAAAGGGCCGTTCCAGCTCTTCCTACTCCTGCCGTTGCCTTCGTGTGTGGCACAAGGCCATGTTTTCGGGGCAGGGAAAACTGGGCACGCACTCCTGTGCAAATGCATTTGGCATCCAGACCAGAGCAGAGCTCCCTGGCAAACGAGAAGACTCTGGTCCCAGTTTCCCACACCTACTGAGGTGACAGGAATGCCTCTGCCCAGGCTCAGCGGCTGCCCCACTGAGCCGTGGATGAGAGACCCTCAGGCTCTAGACTGCCTCTGCTGGCTCGGGCTGCCGTTGGCTCCCCCCGGCTAGAAGAGTGATCAGAAGCCTTCCTGGGCTAGTTGGGCCTCATCTGAGCAATGAGGCCTGCTCCAGCTCTGGCCTGGGTTTTGGTTCTTGCTTGCTTACTTGTGCTCACTCATTCATGTCCTGCCTTTTCCTCCATGGTGCTCAGCGTGGCATATAGGCTCTCCTGTTTTGTGCTCAGGACAACCCCGTGAGGCGGGTGAGGCTGAGGGCCCATGGCTGGCCCAGCGCCACCCAGACACTCCAGAGCTGAGTGGGGTCCTGTGCCCCGGATGTCTCCATTCCCAGCCCAGCACTCTCCCCTTTGCCCCAGCTGGCCCTCCAGGCTGCACGACGCGGGGGGGGGGGGGGGAGGCTGCATTCGCCCAGCCGTCCACCAGTGGCAAAGGCTGGCTTGGCACTTTCTTCAGCTGGTGCCACCTCCCTCCCTCCCTCCAGCTCCACCCCGAACCACCGAGCGTCACCATGACCTGCCTCCAGTCCTGCTTGCACCCCCACGAGGCTGCAGCCCTGTCTTGTCAGCGAGTAGCTCCTACTCCCAAGATCCACCCACATGCACAAACCTCATGAGATCTAACATCACTGCGATGTTACCAACTCTCCAGGAGTTTCCTTTGGCATCTTTGCCTGGGGTTTGGTACCTGATATTTTCTCCAGCTCAACCCAGAATTTTAAGTCAAGGTGGGATTTAACTTTTGGGACTTGTTGCAACTCATGAACTGCAAACCCAGCAGGTATCGTCTCTGCCAAATCTAGCCAAGCCTCTCCTAACTTAAAGGTTAAAAATTGTGCTGGCAGCCACCACCACCCCACACACACACACACACACACACAGGCTCCCCGACACATCTTGCGGACTCTGTAAGTTGTAGCCAGTGCAGAATGCAAGTGTGAGGTTGTGGCAGGGTGTGTCCAGCTATTCCTCGTGTGTTGCTTTGTGCCAGTCACTCAGCCTCAGCCTAGCCCAGCTCACAGGCTTGTCACTGTGAGGGTGAAATGGAAGGAAGGGGAGCCTTGTAGGCCATCTTGGGTTCTTCAGGAGAGGCGAAAGAGAGAGAGTCGGTGCGGTGCAGTGGTCAAGGGCGCAGGACTGGGGCCCAGCCGATCAGGGCTCTAGTCCCCACTCGGCCATGGAGCCAACCGGGTGACTGGGCCAGTCATAGACTCTCAGGGCAACCTACCTCACAGGGTTGTTGTTGTGAGGATAAGACTGAAAGCAGCAAGAGGAGAATGGTGTAAGCTGCTTTGAGTTCTTTAAAAGGAGAAAAAAGCCAGGATAGAAATCAAATAAATAGGCAGGTGTGCAATGTGATGATAATAATGTGGTACAGCTGATCATTTCAGTGATCATGTCTATTTATATTTTATCATGTGCATTGCCTGGATACATTTTGCTTGACAGACAGTATGGAAATATTTTAAAATCAAACAAAGAATGTAACCAAATGTATGTTTTGTTAAGTAATCAGTTGAATGTTTTTCTAGAAAAGAAAATAATTTAATAATGATTAATTTAATGGGGAAATGCACAACACACAACCTTCAATGAGCAACTTTTCCCATTAAATCATTGCAAAGTTCCCCAGGAATTATTAAATTGTGGGAGCAATTCCAGCTGGAAAGAAACTACTAATTTTGACCCAGGAGTCACACTGACTGGACAGGTTCCCTCCCCATTGTGACCCTGCAGAAAGCTGCAGGGCTGAATCCTCAGTTCACGTCTTTAGGATGCACAAAAAATGCTTCATGAATAGGATCAGGAATGAATACTGCAAGTTTGCCTACTCATTTCTAGCTAGTTGGTCAAGGGAACGCAGCCCTTTTCTTGCCCAAGTCCACATTTCCCTGTGAATGTGCTCAGGGGCCGCATGTTGTTGGTGAGCAGGGCCAGAGTCAAACCTGTCTTTCGCCTTCTGTCTCTTGTGAGAAAGAGAGGCATTTTCTTCTTTTTTAGCCATTTCCCATTCCCCTTTTTCCTCCTCCTCTGTCCTTTCCCCACACTGGGTCACCAGGGAAGGGATGGGTCCAAATGAAGCCAAGGGTGGCATGCTACCCCGGAGATGGGCACTGGTGAGCTTCAGCTTTCCTATCCCTCTAGCCCTTGGTCAACTTGTTTAGGGATGTCAACTCCCCAACCCCCAGACTATTTACTCCAACTGTTTTCAGCTTGGCGTTTTTCCTAGTCATACTCTAGATGTTCTGCATGTGGGTGGCCAGAGTCACTTCAGCGTCAGGAAGCCCCAGAACATGGCCGTGTCCGAAGTTCTGGCAGTCATCCAATGTGAGCCTTAAGCACATGATAAGCTGAGTGAGAAGGCAACATTTTGATTCACGAGACCATAAAAGGGTACAGACTGGTCCACAGACCTGAGCTTTGCTCTGTGGACATTCAGCATTCCACTCTTCTCTGGGAGGTGCTTATTATTGGAAAGGTGGCGGGGTTCATTCACTCATTCATTGATTCTAAGAGTATTTATAACCTGCCTCGCTTTAATTTGTCAGTGTGTCCACAGAGCGATGTACAGATTTTTCTTTATTTCTATATTGTCCAACAGCTGAATCTCTCTGGGTGGCATACAACAGTTGACAAAATACAGTAAATGTAAAATGAATATAAATAACAGTACAGAGATCATAACATTTCATTAACGTCTAATGCCAGATTTTAACAACTTAATTAGCTCAAGCAAGTCCATACTGCTAGGCCTGCAAAAAGCAATGCATAAATACCCCCATATCTGACCAGCAGAGCTTCAAATAGAGGACTGTTCTCTCTGCCCCTCTTGAGCTTATTTCCATGGACTACTGTCTCTTCCAGCCCTGTTCCCCTCAGTGCCCATTTTCTCCATGCTTAGACCTGCTGCCATCTTATGTCCTGGATTCCCCATTTCCCAGGCAATGAGCGTGCCTCCTCCTTTTGCCTGGCAAGTTCCTCCCCCTCTGCAGTCAGCATGGCTCACTCGGCGGGAGCCAGAGATCCCTCAGCCAGCGCCCTTCTGCCATGACATCAAGGGAGCCCAGCCGTTCATTGCCGTGTGCCTCTTCTTCTCCAGTGCTGCCTCTTGCTTCTAAAGCTGAGCTGTCACTTCAGTGAAAATCAAATATTTCCACTGATAACTAGATTGGAAAAATGTGGAGCATTTTCAGACGTACCTTATAATTAGAAATAGAGGAGCAAGGCACATAAGAAATAAGTGTTCATTTTGCACGATCTAATATTTCCAGGGACAAATGGACAGTTTTGAATGTAAGCAATGGCCCTTGCCTGGGCTGTAGGTGAGTGCGCATTCGTTTCTGTATATAGTTCCCTTTTCTTTACTCTGACTGGACCACAGTTCTGGAGGGGGGGCGGTTCCTTGAAGGAGAATCCACAACTTTTAAACCAGGGCATAGACAAGATTTGCCTTGTAAAAATGGAGCTGAGGTGGCTCCTACATAGAGAGTATCTTTTTTCTCTTTCTGGACAGGTATCAAAGTGATCGGAGGCATTAAAGAAGTCAATGGAGAAGAGTATGGAGTTTATGTCAAAAGAATCTTACCAGGAGGCATTGCTTATGCTGATGGTGAGTTGCTTGTTACGTACCTTTCTGAAGGGTGGTGGCACTGTTGTGATGCTGTTCTTAGACCTGTCTTCCAGATGTTTTGGACTACCATTGCTGGAACCCTTGCCTATGGAATTATGGGAGCTGTAGTCCAAGATATCTGCAGGATGTTAGTTTGGGGAAGGCTGATGCCCGCTAAGTTTCCCAGAAAGAAGGCAGTTTGGGAACTGAGCAGCTGCAAAGGGCAAGAAAACAGTGTCCATGTGGTGCAGTGGTCCGGATGCCTGGAGGTAGCAAACCAGGCTCACATCCCTTTATTCTGTTTCTCATTCCAGTCTGGAGCTCTCGGGGTCTCTTTGCAGGCCCAGCGTGAATTGTATGTCTCGGGATGGTCAGATGCAGGAATAGTTCCTGGTAGGGCTGATTACAAGTCAGGGTGGAATGAAAGCAAACCAAGAAGCAGGCAGCTCAGGAAAGTACTGCAGCACCATCCTGGAGGTCTCAGTGTGTGGGAAAGCCCCGAGAAAGGTGGAGGGGAGAAGAGTTTAAAATTAAAAAACAAAACTAGGTTTCCACATTTTCCCCTGAAATTACCCAGTTTTTCCTGTCCTCTACACAAGCTTTCACATCTCTAGTTGATCTGAAATGATATTTGTCAAAGGAGACTTTTCTGAGCTAATTTTTGAGCATTTTCTTCTTGTCTTCCCTCAGAGAAAAGGGTGATTGGGGGAGGGTTACTTTCTCAGTGATTTGATTTTTTCCCCTTACAATTTCCACCCTTCTGAATGGCTTGGAATGATTCCCAGCTGTGGTCCTGATCCAGTTAAGTCCAAGGTGCAGGGTCTGACTAGGTGCCACGCCACAGTCAGGACCCTGGACAGAGACACAGCGATGCTTTGTGGCCTGGGCTCCAGCATTCAGGACCATGGACAGCTATCCTGCCGCTGAACCAGCAAATTTTCCCAGCGCTGACCGGGACAAGTGCCCGAGATTCAGACTCTGGTCTGGAGGAACTGCAGGGCACCGGGATGAGAAAGGCGGCATTTGTGAAAGAGGCTTTTAATGCAGTCATTGACTTCTTCAAGCTGTGGAATTTGAGTCATGCAGTTATTTGGAAAAGCTCCTTAGGAGATCCTCGGCCTCCACAGAGCCTGGGGTCCGTGGCAGCTTTTCGGGGTCCCTGAGTGGGTGTGGGAAGTGATTCTGCTTGTCTGGTGTCATGACAGTCCAGGCTTTTATCAAGGATGCTGCAGCACATGGGGCAGACCTGTGTAGCTGGAGGCAGATGTCTTTTTCCGTGGTGAAATCAGTCTGAGCCACATTTGAGGAGTGGGGAGAAAGCACAGGTCAGGGGCCTGTGCTGAGGAAGCCTTGAATATTTCTCCCTCCCTCTGTCTATGCATGCCAGAATACCAGCCAGCCATGGCCTCTTTCTGAGATGCTGTAAGCCGTGGCCTTTGATACACTGTTGGGATGCAACTCCCAAAGGAAAAGGATGAGGAGACTTTTAGTGGAGCAGCACTGTCATGGCCCCCCTTCCTGCTACAAGCTGTAAGGATCACAGATGGGGGATTCCCCTGCTCTACCCTTGCCATTTTTCTGATCTGCTTTTCCAGCTGGTTTGTTTTTCATGTTACTCTGTTAACCATTATGTAAATTGCTGGTGATACTGTATACATTAGTAATAATTCACAGCACATATTTAGTTCATCAGGAATATGTTATTGTTCTCTGTTTTCACCTATATGACTTCTTTCTTTCTTTCTTTCTTTCTTTCTTTCTTTCTTTCTTTCTTTCTTTCAAGGCCGCTTGCAACCAGGTGACCAAATCTTAGAAGTGAATGGAGACAGTCTGATTGGGGTCACAAGCGAGAGGTGGGCTATCAGAATTCAAGGTTTGCTTTTAGCTATGTTATTTCTAGGGTCTACTCAGCAAATATGGACCTGGCTTACTGGTGTCCTTATTCCAAGTGCAGGTAAGGGTTTTCTTGCTATGTATATTGGTTGGGTTCTAGAATGGGTAAAGGGGTTTCCTTGGGAAGGATAGAAATCCATTCAGAAATTTTTGGAAGTGGGCTGAAATCTGGATCCCCAATGACAAGCTAAAGCCTAAGAGACCTTGGCGACAGTGTATCTATTGGCTATATTTTTCTCCTTCTCCAGCCATTGGGCAATTCATAGATTTCATTTTCCAGTGTTTATTTGCGATCTGGCATGTTGTCCAAAGAATGCACAGAATACTGCTGAGATATGGGAAGTCCTAAGGAGTGCTAGAAGCCGGGCAAAGCATCCACAGCGTGTGTGTGCTGGGCGTGAGGGAGGCAGTCGCTCCTGGCGGGTGTTTCCGGGCCGGGCTGATCCTGACTCTTTAAACAAGGACAGCGAGGCCTGGCAAACGAGGCCTCCACCATAGAGATGGTGGTGGGGAAGAGTTGATCTCAGGGGTTCAGGCAGACCCTGGGAAGCAACAGGGTCTGGCAGTGCCAAGAGGGGCTGTGGGAGAGGAGCTGGATGAGCCTGGTGTGAACTTTGACCCCATGACTCAGCCTCAGGAGAGAAGGGCCAGCCAGCAAGAGTAGAGCTAGGAGACTCGCCCACCTCCAGAAGCCCCCCAAGGGGCGGGGTCCAGGGTTACTCAAAAGGAGGGTTCTTGGAAAGAGGTTCTAGCTCGGGTTCAACAAACTGCTCTGTGCATGCTCAGAGACTTTCTTTGTTGGCTGTATTTTTCTGGATGTACATTTAAAATAAAGAGCTTTTGCCAAAGAACAGCCTGTTTTGAAAAGAGAAGGGGGAAACCCACATCCCAACAGCATGAAATGGAGCTGAGGTCACGCATGTTCCTCGAGGCCTGCTGGGTTTACGCACAAGAGGGGAACGCTGTGCAAAATGCCGGTGGGCACGCACCTTCCCCAGGGCCCACTGGGGAGTTTGCATAATGGCAGGAGGCTGAGGGCAATCATGGGAAGATCATTCGCACGTTCACCCTCAAATAAGTGGAGTGGATGCCCGCAGTGGCTGGTGGTTCGTGCGTGTTAACTGCCCAATGCACATTGCCCCAGTATGCATGTGCGCACACGCCATGGACACACAGAGAACCCAGTTCCTAATATTCTGCCATGTTAATGTGCCTGTGCAACTGAGCAGCACTATGCATACAGGAAAAGCTACCCTTCTCGGTGGCTGTGTTCACCACTGGTTAGGGCCAGGACGCCTCTGCACGCTGCTCTAGTGCGACTCACTCCTTCCTCCCATATAACTGAAGAGATGCTGTTCCCTTCTAAGGGAAATAGTGAACTGTCACACCTGGGGACATGGCGGCAGGATGAAGAGTGAGAATCACCTTCTGCCCCGCTCCACCCCTCAACGCGTCACTGCCCAAGAGCCGGCGCGCGTGGGGGCTGCAGCAGCTTCCCCCATCTGGCTCCCTGCAGATGTTTCGGCTGCTAAGTCCCACCACCCCTGACCCGGACCGTGCTGAATCTGATGAATGTTGCCATCCAGGGCATCCCGATCTGGGGAGGATCACTGAGGATCTGGGTGCCACGTTTGCTCTCCTCCCACCCATCCCTCATGGCCGGCACTCCTGCCGAATTTGGCAACAAACAGCCCTGTGCTTTCACGTGCTTTTCAGAAAAACACTCTGGAATGGTGAAAGCACCAGATGTAGCAGGTTCTCATGCCACATGTGTCCTTGTAATGTTCTGCTCTGGTTTGCCATCAGAATGTGGATGGATTTTGGTGATGCGCTGTGGCAAAAGGCCACATCAGAGTGGATGCTTGTGCTGGCAACACCAGGCTAGGACCAGGGAAGCCTGAGGGTTAACCCTGTTCAGCCACAGAGTTCCCTGGATGACCAAGGACCCCTCCTCTTGGCCCCTTCGCTACCTCTTGGGCTTCTCGTAAGGAAAGCGCGGGTGTGGGAGAATGCAGCGCTGGCTATGTGAGCCTCGGGGCCACACGGGGAGGGCAAAGGAACAACAGGAGTAGAATTAAAGTGGCAGCTCAGTTCTTGCTCTCCTTCTTAACATCCAACAGGGCTGTGGATATTCTCAGGACAGCTTCCGCCACCAGCCGCATGCGCCTTCTCATCGCCCGAGATGACGATGCTCGGTAAGTGCTTTCTGCGCTCCGGCTGGGGAATGGGTGCCCTTCAGCATGCTCCTCTGCGCGTGCCCTCTGCAGCAAGTCCCACTGGGCTCAGCTGGACTTACTCCCTGGCAGCCGTGCCCAGAATTGCAGCCCAAGTGTGTCCAGTTTCATCGGGAGGATTTGTTGATTTTTAATTGGGCAGGAGGGCAACTTCAAAGGCCATATCGGCAGCCTGGAACCTCTTCAGGGTCACATGCCAGCTGTTTGACGGTGGGTGGTCAGAGTGCTTTGCTTTGTTAATGGGTCCCCGATTTTTATTACTGCCTATTAAAATGCTAGTTTTACGTTTTTGTTTTGTTTTATAGGCTATCACATATGCTTTTAATGCATGCTTTTTATATGATGCAATGATACTATATTGTTGTTGGGGTTTTGATTTTTGTGGAACAACTGGGTTGCTTAGGCTATTGTGTTCTGCACAATAAGAAAGTACCTTCCACTGATCAAATCAAACATGGTTTTGTGATAATGTGTTGTGTTTTCCCTGTGCCAAGCTGCCAAGTCTTCTCATAAGTTGCTAAATCGTGTATTTTAAATGGCGGCATAATTGCATGCCCAGGAAATAAAAGGCATATAACAGAATCCAGGGAAAGCAGTCAAGTGTTGAACTGGGTTTGTTTACAGTCAGTCACCCTTTGCTGTTGGTTATTCAGTAAATCTGCAAAAGGTTATCCAGAGGGGAAGTTGGCCAGTCATCAGTGTTTTGTTGTTGCTGCTGAAGATTTGCAGAGATTTCACTTACATAATAATCTCACAAAATATTTAATTCACCAATGATTAAGAAGAAGGGGAGTGGAAAAGGCAGTGTGTGTGTGTGTGTGTGTGTGTGTGTGTGAGAGAGAGAGAGAGAGAGAGAGAGAGAGAGAGAGAGAGAGAGAGAGAGAGAGCTTTTATGTGAGCCTCTTTACCGTTTATTTTATTTTATTTTATTTTATTCATCCCTTATTATCTTTCTGCCATGCCCTTGAGCTTGCAGAAGTAATCCTCCCGGTTGCCACATCAGGGTCAGGGGTGCTTGCTGACGCAGATGCTGCGGCCAGGGCCGGGGATGTGCCCGGATGCCTCCCCTGCCGCTCCCCTCCCTTCTTTGGAGGTCAGCTGCTGAGCATCCCGGATGACTCGGCCAATCAGCACAGGGCCCGGTCGGTCCTGGCCCAGCCTGCGTCCTGCTCGGGTCTCCAGGGCATGACCAGAAGTTCACGCTGCAAACGCGATTCTAATCGCATCAAGGCTGATTTGCGGCTGCCTGGCGAGAGTCGAGTTGTCAGGATGTCTTGGATGGTTGGCAAACATTTCAGCAGGGCGGATTGCGTGGCATCTGCTCCCTTGCTGCTGAGGCTTGGGGCCCCCATTCGCAATGCCTGACCTGCTGCACCGGGTTCCGGGGGGCCTCGTGTACCTGGAGGCAGGAGCAGGATCAGTGAAGGCTGAGCCAAACCTGACAAGACTGGGACAGATGGTTCTCAGTTCTGGGGAAATGCTGTTCGATGCTTCTGGTGTGGAGGGATCTGCAGGGGAGAGCCCTAGGAACCTAGCCGTGGCTCAGTTGCTCCACATCTCCTTTCCCTTCCCTGATGCGGAACCTCTCCAAAGACTTCTCAGGCTGGATGGGGTGGCTGGTGGGCTGAATTTGGCTATGGGACAGAGATTCTCTGCCCCCAGTTCACACCACAGGCCTGATACTGGCACCCTGCAGACAGTCGCATGCATCCTGGGTGTAATTGGGTGCATTTTTATTATTTTATTTTAGATATATTTTATGGCTTAAAATTTGGTATACAAGAATGCATACACAAAAGACACAAATTGGTGTGGCACCAAACAACATTTACTGGCATCAGGCTCAGAGCATCCATGAGCTCTCTTAGGTGATTTTGAATGTCCCATTCCTAGCCCCATCGTGCAGGGTTTCCGGATTCCAGAACATTCATTAATATTCTGTGCCATATACTTCTTTCCCATTCAGCTGAAGTGCTTTTTTAATTTAATGGGTGAAATTCTATGCCAAATAATTCAAATTCTTTGTGAAGAAAACCAAAGACATCGTGCAAATTTAGCATAAATTCTTTTGTATTATTTTGCTTGATTTGTTTGTCCGTATTAGAGAACTGTTCTTCTTTATTCCATCCTTTCCCATAGAGCTTAGGGATGCTTTTCCCCTCACCTGTTTTTATCTTTACAACAACCCTTTCAGGTAGCTTAGATTCAGTACTAAACCTTTTCTTTTTGTAAAAAGGTTGGATAAACATAAAATAAATTATATGCAGAGTCAAATTTCAATGCATGGGTTGGGGTAGCTAGCAGACTTTGCCACAGATCAGTTTCCATCGTCTCCACACAGCGTGGACAAGTGTCCAGGATGATGGGAGGTGTGGCCTGACCACATTTGAGGGACCCGCCTGGGGAAGGGCTGGTGTGCCGAGTGGCGGGCTGCCAAGTGCCGCACTTGCTGCCAACTGTACGTTGCGAAGCGGGGCTGCAGAACCTTTCAGCTGGAGGGCCAAATTCCATCTCAGAAAAGCTCCCGGGGGCATATTCCAGATGTGGGTGGGGCCAAAGGAAGGGGTTGGACCAAGTACAAAACATGCCAGTGTGATATTTTATCTGTGTGGACATGGTACTACATCACTTTCTCTTGTTCAGGAGAGAATTCTCTGAGCTGTTGGAAAAATTTGGATCCCACAGCAACACGGGTTCAGCACGCAGCTCCCCAGTTCTCCATGGTGGGGGTGAGTGTTAACTGTCCCAAGGGACCCACCGGGCAGATGCTGTTAGGGAGGCAAGACGCTCAGAGCAGGAAAATGCAACCGTGTCCCAAAAGATGGGAGTTGCCTGGGGGAGGTCTGCAGAATCCCCAGCAGGGGCGCTCTGCCATCAGAAGCCTCCCTTGCTAAGGCAGCTGTCAAGAGTCTGGGGCGGGAATCTAGCCCAAATGGAGGTTCCACCAGCCTGAGCCAGTGCCTGAGCACGCGCCCCTTGAGCCAGAGTGTCCCCAGTGAAACCCGCACCCTTTGAATGAGGAACCAGCCCTTCCGGCAAGCTGGGCCTCACCGTGCCCCAGGCTCACCGAAGCCGGGAATGTGCAAGACCGAGAGGCCACACGGTGTGGGACTCCAGGCTGGAGAACGTCCTTAAGACTCTCCAGGCGGGGGACAGAGCCTGGGAGGGGCAGGCAGCTTCCAGAGGGATAAAAGGGCAAGCTGAGCTCCAGAGCGTGTTCAGCAAAGTCATATGGTTTTATTGCTATATCTTACTGTTCAGATGTTATTTATATGCTACTGTTTTATATGCTATTATTGATAGATACCATTTAAGATGCTATTGCTTTCTATGTTATTATATCCTGTTGCTTCCCGTGTTATTTTCTTGTTAATCACCATTATGTAAACCACCCAGAGAGCCCTGTGGGCTATGGGAACAGTACAGTAATATCTTCTTCATCATCATCATCTTCTATCCAAAGATCTCTAACATCCTATTACTCCAGCCCAACCTGATGAAGCTTTCTTTGGATGCCTGTCATACTCCATGGACCCCCACTCATGGTTAGGGCAGGGCAGGGCAGGCCAGGCCAGGCCAGGCAAGTCCGAACTACTAAAACATGTGCTGAGTTCCAAGCTGCATGATGTCCCTCTCCCAGACATTTCATCATGCCCAGTCTTTCCAGCTGCACTCCATGATTTCACTGGTGGTGGCCCCCTGTGAAGAAGGGAAGTGTCATGATATTACATCTGGTGCCTGCTTTAACTAAAGAAAAGCAGGAGGTGCAGCCAAATGCTCCTACCAGATGACACATAACTTGGTCCTCCAAGAAGTCACTGAGGAACTGGAACATGGACACCAAACAGCATTTTCCTTTGCTCTCTTGTCCAGAAGATGGAATTCTTCTTACAAAATCCAGAGTAGTTTAGCAACTGATATGTTTTGTTGATTACAAACTGGAGGTGCTGCTGAAGCATTTAATTTCTTGCATTCTCCATGGTACCCTGGGGAGTATGGGGAGGAAAGGACAGGTGGCATACTAAATGCAGCTTCTGAGCCCAGTCTGGCCTGCTGGGACCAATCTCATAGTTATCATTCATAGAGCCAAATGAAGGGATATGGGTGAACTGTATTGTTGCCAGTGGGGTAAACAGCAGGCCTTTGGGGAGCATGAGGACTAGAACCATGGTGCACCAGCTCTTTCCATTCTCAAGATGGCTTTCCAGCAAAAATAATTGCCATCTGGGGAAATATCTTGTTCCTCTCAAAACACTGTCTTTGACTTTGTTCTTCAGGCAGATATTTGGAAAGCACTTCTTCGGGGTCCTCATCTCGTTCCCAGAGTCCTCTCCTGCTTAGCCCTGCAAATTCGCATGGGCCACTGATTGGAAACCCAGGACACTCCCCACACGCAGCCTCTCAGTGAGTAACGCTTTGCTTTTAAGAGTGTCCACATTGCACTGACACCCACGGATCATGTTGGGCTACTTCAAACTATTTTTACCATTCTTAATTCTATAAAATCGTAGGTAAAATGAAGGCTGAATGGGGGTTACCTTCCTTTAGCGGAAGGCAAAAACAGGGGCTTTGTTTACAATCCTTGCCCTCAGTAATCGTGCCTTAAGAAGGGCATTCAAGCTTGTAGACAGGAGGAAAAAAACACACTGCAAAAGCCAGGAAACTACCAAGTGGTTGGCAGCTGGCAGAAAGGGCACAGGGCCAGCGGAGGCTGGGGGCTCCTATATTTTTGGGTCTGTGTGTTTGATCTGGGTTGCACGCTGAACTTTTAAGGAGCTCTTCATGGTGCTGAGCCATGTGATGTGGCTGCAAAAAAGGGCAAATGCTATTTTAGGCTGCATTAATAGCAGTATCGCTTCCAAATCACACGAAGTACTAGTTTTCCTTTATTCAGCACTATTCAGGCCCCATCTGAAATATTGTGCCCAGTTCTGGGCACCACCATTTAGGAAAGATGCAAACAAGCTGGAAAGGGTGCAGAGGAGGGCAACAAGGATGATCCAAGGACTGAAAACAAAGCCCTGTGAGGAGAGATGGAAAGAACTGGGCATGTTTAGCTCAAGAAGAGAGGACTAAGGGGGGGGGGGTAGATAGTACTTTTCAGGTACTTGAAAGATTGTCACAAAAAGGAAGGCCAGGATCTCTTCTCAGTCATCGCAGAGTGCAGGACATGGAATAATAGACTCGACTTACGGGAAGCCAGGTTCCAGCTTGATATCAGGAAAAATTTCCAGACTGTTAGAGCACTACAGCAATGGAACCAATGGCCTTGAGAGATCGTGGGCTCTCCCACACTGGAGGCATTCAAGACACAACTGGACAACCATCTGAGAGGAATGGATTGACCCGGAGTCCTGCACTGGAGAGAGGGTTTTGACACAACAGCCCTCTGGCCCCTTCCACCTCGCCTATTTTACGATCCTATGATTCTGTGAACCGATTTTGGAGAGAGGGGGCTCAGCACCATGAATAGTCCCTTGAAAGTTCAGTGTAGGAGCCAGCCTCTGCTCAGGGCACGTGAAGAAGGCACGGCTATCTAGAGAACCCCTGAGGGCTGTGTGTGGCCCCCAGGCTCACTGGATTTGGTCTGCAGCCCTCAGATTCCTCTTCCCTGCTGCAGAAGCCATGTGCCTCCTGGAGACACTCGTGGAGCCTCTGTGTTTACAGATCTTGGAAGGCCAGATGCTGCGGGGTCTACTGGCTCTGGGTATTGCTGGTGCACTGCTTCGTGATGGCCACAGCCCTGGCGTGGACGATTCCCCCTTGTCTGATCCAGGGCAGCATTTTCACCTGCTGCTGACCTTCCGCTTCCTTTCCTTGCAGCTGCTCCATCGACACCGGGATCCAGAGCATCTCCATAGCACGGTCCGCTGGGTTGGGGTTGACCATCGGTGGAGGGGCCAACAGACCCGACGGGCCCATGGTGTATGTCCAAGAGCTTCAGCCGGAAGGTGACTGCTGCAGGGTGAGACGGACACTTCAGTGGCTTTGGACTGGTACTGCTGCATCTTGAGGAACAGACAGAAATTGTCCCTTCAGGTGGTGATCCTTACACGTCCCAAAGGAAATGGTGCATGACAGGAACTTGGAGTATCGGGCCTAGGGACCAAACCCAGTCCCACTGGGCTGCCAGTCCAGCTGTCTGGGGTTCCTCAGAGGATCTTGCCCCTTTCCGCATATGTCCAGCTGGTTCCTACTTCCCCACACAATGACGGGCCATTTGAGGGCTTCTCAGAAGCATTTTATGCGGCATTTTCTCTATCCCAAAGAGCTGAGATGCCTCCCCAATGGCTTAATTACCAGCACTAAGACCTGTGTGCTAAAATATGTGGGAACTGCTCTTATTCTGGCTTTGCCTGAATTGTCCTCAGTTCTGCCCACTCCTGGAATGAGGCCTGTGAGGATTCTCTGAAAAGGAGTGTGGACCGAAGCTGCAGGACAGTCAACACACCCACACGGAGCCTGTGGCGTATAAGGAAGGAGGACCGATGGAACGGAGGAGCCTTCCCTGCTCTATCGTGCGTCAGCCATGCCTTTGCCTCCTCCTCTCTCTTGCAGGATGGGCGCCTGCGAATGGGCGACCAGCTGATCGCCATCAACAAAGACTCACTGGTGGGTGCCACGCACGAAGAGGCCCGAAGGATCCTTGCAAAATCTAAATTCAGGTAAGAGAAACCTTCCGGCAGCTGTCCAGATGGTGGCTTTAGAAGGAATCCATGGCTCATCTCCAACAGAGTTGAAGTGGCCAGGTCCGCCTCACCCCGCTTCCTGCTTTCCTTGGAGTTCCTGTCTTCACAGCTCCCTCTGCATGTCCAGACCAGAATGTATCACTTCTCTGAAGCCAACCAAAAACATTTGGGGAATGCGGGGTGGGAGACCCAAGGTCAAATACACATAGACAAACAGTGAAGACAACCTTCAAAAGCCATGATCGCCATAAGCAACTGAAAATGCCTAACTGAAAAAGAACCAGGTTCCTGAACACAGAAACAGTGGAAAGCAATAATGACTCCAAAAAGAATGCATTTGTAACTTGACAAACAAGACTTGAATCTCTCTCTCTCTCTCTCTCTCTCTCTCTCTCTCTCTCTCTCTCTCTCTCTCTCTCTCTCTCTCACACACACACACACACACACACACACACACACACTTTTCTTTATTTGATAGAGTTTCTTAGGTGGGATCCTTTCCATTCTGGCTCTCAAATGCTGCCTGATGTGTCAGCTGCATTTGGCTATAACACTGAAATGGGGATGGTCAAATTGGTGTCCTCCAGGTATTTTGGACTGCAACCCCCATGAGCCACAGCCACAGCTAATGATCAGGGACTAGCTGCCTGAAGAAATCTGCAAAGGATGTAAATCTCCAAATATCTATGACTCTAACCTGCATTTTCCTTAGCGCACCGGCCTTTTCCAAGTGATACAGATCGCCCTCATTTGTGCATCATTTTTAAAATGTTTTTTGTTGGGGGAGATTTGTACAAATATGCACGCATGAGCATGCACACTGATGTGAATATGCCCTTGCACAAATTGAAGAAATTTCTCATACGTTCTTCGTAAAACAAACACAACCCCATTCGCCACCAATTCCGTCAGCATGGCGGATACTGAAACAAAAGATCTGCAAAACACAGACTGAGTGAATTTACAAAAACTGGACATTCTAGTTCAGGATCTATGACAGGGGTGTCCAAACTTTTTGCAAGGAGGGCCAGATTTGGTGAGGTGAAAATGTGTGGGGGCCGACCATTCAGCCTGACATTCTTTGAACCATTTACATTAAACGCAAATGAACTATTTTATGAAAGACTAAACAAATAACTGAACTGCACTAATGTGAAGGGTGATACTGAGATCTCGACTGCATTATATAGGCCAGGTCTGGCTCAAAAACAGTGGTTTTGATGCGCAAGATGTCACGCAGGTGAAAGTCACTTAGTCTCGTCCTCACACGGTTCTTGTTAATGTTCATAACCAAGAATGTCTTCTTGCACAAGTATGTCGAACCAAACAAGCTCAGCATTTTCATAGCAAATGTTCGAAACTCTTGGAACCTGTCTTTATCCAGCTGCCAGTAAAAGTTGACAAGAGGGAGCTGTTGGTGCCGACTGCGACACTTGGCGTCACACTGCAGCTCAATGAGCTCCAGCTGCAGGTGGTCTGGAGCGTCATCAGGGTCCACAGAGAAAGGAGATGAAAAAAGCGTGATCTCCTTTTCAATAGCTGCAAAATCCCGAAAGCGCTGTTGAAACTCTTCAGCCAGAGATGAGATGTCTGCTTCATACCTCCTTATTTGCGCACTCATATTGTTCTGTGGAAAACTGGTCATTATTTCCTGCAGCGATGGGAAATGTGTGGTATTGGGCTGCGTTTGTGACAGGTGCCTTTGGAAAAGTAGCAGCTTGGTCCCAAAGGCTTTGATATGTGAATACAGTTGGCTTACCACTGCATTTTGCCCCTGAAGGCTCGTGTTCAGCACGTTCAGATGTCGTGTTATGTCAACTAAAAATCCAAAATCAGCCAGCTAAACAGGATCAGATAGCTCTGGCATCGGTTGTCCCTTTTTTGCCAAGAATTGTCCGATTTCCTCCCTAAGAGAGTAGAAGCGCTGCAGTGCAGACACCCGATTAAGCCATCTTACCTCATTGTGATAGACAACTTCTCCGTATTCAGCCTGGATGTCAAGTAAAAACTGTTGAAACTGGCAGTGGCACAGGGCTTTGGAGCGAATATAATTAATAGCCTTCATCACCGGTTTCATAACATGATCATATTTCAGATGTTTGGCACAGAGAACTTGTTGGTGAACAATACAGTGGAGTTTTATAGCTTTGCCTCCTTCTTTGCTGACTTTGTTACAGACTAGGGTTGATAATCCACTTCGCTCGCCAGCCATGGCAGGTGCGCCATCCATAATAATCCCAGTGACTTTATTCCACAGTAGTTTCATGTCATCTACGGCGGAACAAACAGAAACAAATAAATCTGTTCCTCTTGTTTGGTCCTTAAGGCTCTGGAGGTCAAGTAGCTCTTCACTCACATTCATGTCATTGTCCACTCCTCTCAAAAAAATCAATAACTGAGTGGTGTCAGATGCATCCGTGTGTTCGTCGCAGGCTAACGAAAAAAAGTCAAACTCCACTCCTTTTGCCTCTAAGTGTCTCTTAATATCAGATGAAACATCTTCAGTTCTCCGTACCACAGTTTTACGAGCCAGGCAAGAAACTCTTGCTTCTTCTCAGGACAAATTTTCTCCACCATTTTCATCACGCAGTCTTTAATTAATTCACCCTCAGTAAAAGGTTTGCAGTGCTTGGCAATCAGCGTTGCCACCTCGTAGCTCGCCCTTGTGGCATTTTCATTTGACTCACGGGCTCTTGTGAAAAAGCGCTGCTGTGCCATTAAAGCAGCTTCCAGTTCCTTCCATTTTTCACCGCGTTCATTCCCAGTTAGCTTGTTGTAGTTAGCATGTTTCGTCTGGTAATGCCTCTTGATATTGAATTCCTTGAAAACAGCCACAGTCTCTTGGCAAATTAGGCAGACACAGTTGTTTCATATTTCTGTGAAAAAATACTCCAATTTCCACTTGTCCTGGAAGCAGCGGCCCTCACTGTCAACTTTCCCGTTTTTAGTTACAGTTGCCATTTTAGAAATGGGCGCACAAGCCTTGTGTCACACGGGTCACGCGGCGGCATGCCTGATCTATGGAAACCTGGGGGGGCGGGTGGTAGCAGGTTCCCTGACCAAGCCCTAAGCTATAGGTAAAATTAACCACAGTTTTGTTAGTTCAGGCATACCATGGTTTGCTGAAACCAGAAGCAAACGCTTCCAAATGCTTCCCTGCAGATCCTCTAGACAAGACGCAGGGAAGAGAGAGCCAGTGACCCTGATGCTGAATCATTAGGTATAGCATAATGTCTGAACACAGCCACCTTTGATCTGGCTGCGATAATAGCCTTTTCCACACAGGTCTCCCATGATGGCTTCATCCCAACCCAATTTCTTATTTGTTTTTAAGACACGAGGGAATCACTGAAGTGGCCTTCATTCCTGGAAGGGGACGGTTGCACCCGGGGCTCTCTGCTCACAACAACACCCATTCCTCACCCACCAAGGCTGTAGGCAACGGCCTGGGCTTGGGCCGGTTGAAAGTCCACGTAAGATCCCCTGAGGTAAGTCCCAATGAGCCCGTGTGATCCCACCCAAATGATCTCATGGGCATGTCGTGAGCAGAGCCGGCTGGAGCTGGGGGTCAGACTGGATGGCCCGGGAGACCCCTTCGGACTCGCTCTGTTTCTATGTTTCTATCTCCCTTTCCAAAGGGATTATCACTCTGAAGATTTTGTCATAACCCTCCTGGATTGGTTGTTTGGGAAAGTGGCAGCCTTGACTAGCCCAGCCCAGCCCTCTTGCCCTCTCCTCTTCCTGCTGCTTGTCTGGTTGCCTCTTCTTTCCTTAGGCAGACAGCTTGATGTTAGTGGCCTGCCTCTCCCCCTTGCCTGTCCTGATCTTTCAGCTCCTTCTGGGACGCCCTCCTCTTAACTGAGGTGTCATGGAAAGGACAGGGCATGATGCTGGCAGAGCACAGGCCGTCAGGGAAGAACAAATCACTGCGATTTGGGTTTCTCTCATTTTCCCCATCTTGCATTCAGTTAATCCATTTTCCCAGATTTGGCATTTGTTTCTCAAGTGTTTTCACGTGTGGTTCCCATGAAATGTATATTTTTATTTCCTTTATCTCAAGGCCACCTTTTAAGGGTGGAATGGACACATCAGTGCTCATAACTTTGCCCAAGATGATCCCATCTGCAAGTTGTTTCCCCTAATGCAAGTCTGGGCAGCCCTTCCTGAACCAACAGCTGCAGCTGCTGCAATGGCAGTTCCTCCTCTAGCCCGGTCGGTTATGCTCAAAGAAATCCAGCCTGTGGATTTCTCACTTCTGTGCTGAGTCGCAGCACAGGTGTGGCAAGCATGGCCCGCCCTTCCGCACCCTCACTGGCCACCTCTAAAGGTGCAGTGCCTGATTGGTTCGGGTCGCCGTCACTCAGCCTGCACACTGAAATGGTTTTCCTTGGGCAGGGCAGGGCAGGGCAGGGCAGGGCAGGGGGCTGCAGGCTTTCCCAGCCAGCTGGCACTCCTGGCACATCCTTTTGCCAAGAGCTGCACCAGGCTAGTGGTGGCTCAGCCTGATGTGATGCAGTTCTGCATGCTCTGCTTCACAGTGCTATGCATTTTGGGGTGCACTTTCCCTAACATCTGGCTTTTGCATGCTCTGTTTGGAGAACAGCACTATAATAATTGTTGAAGTCTGAATTGTGAAGGAAAACTGATTTTCAGTTTGTGCACTGCTTTAAAAATGCTAAGTTAGGGAAGCTTTCTTTAAAAAGAGATGATTTCCCCCCGTCCCTGATGGTGGTACCTTTGGTGGGTGATGCTCCTCTGTCTTTGCTGGCAAGGATTTTATTATTGAAAAGGTCATAAATAGTCCCATAGACGTAATCTGATTTTATAGTCATTCCCTTCCCTCTGGGAACCATGACTATGTATTTTTTTTTTTTTAGAACAGTTCTAAAGGCCCCTTCATTCAGTCAGATTCCAGGTTGGTGCACAAAAAATATGAGTAATACAATTTGTACAAAGCAAAGTACAATGGAAAGTGAGAGGCAGCAAAACTAGACAGCAAGTTGCAGCTGGGTTCTGAGTTAGAAATCTTGTGATAGAATTCTCCTCGCCACTCCCAAACCTGGGATTTGAGGACAGCTGTGATAGCTAAACTTATCTAAGATCATTGTGCAGATGTACATAGGGACTCCATTCCAAGTACTTTTGAAGTTTTGTGCCTGCCCGCCTGCCTGCCTTTCTTTTGTTGACTTTCTTGCAGGTCCTTCTAGAGAAATATTGTAAGATCATGCTCAGGGAAGTCTTGAATGTACCTTCTCGAAGCACACGGACTTTGGTTCTGGTCCTTGAGAAACTTCGGGGCAGCACTTTTTGGAACAAACTCAGGTTGTTCTAAAAAAAAGTCCTCCTCCAAGTCTGATTGAATTACAACTCTGACAAGTCCCTGCTTGGCTAATGCCTGTGGGTTACATCTCCTCCCTTCTCAGACTACAGCACACCTCTGAAATGGAGAACTCGATAGATGGATGGAAGCTAAACCAAGAAAACCAATTTGGACAGCCCACTTAACTGATGACAGAAAGGGCAAGATGTAGGCTGGTTCCCTCACCTGTCCACTTGCGGGAGCATGTTAGTGCCACCACTGGTGAAACTCAGCTCATATTGCACTTGTTGAAACCACAACGATTCTTCTCGCAGCGCTATCTCTGACTTGGCCTTTCTGCAGCTGGAAGAGAACTCCTCCTCCCACACCTTTCAGAATCTCAACTTTCTCCTACTGAGATTGCTTCTCCTTCCTTTTGTCTTCCAGAGCAGACACGACAGTCCCTTTCCTGTGCCTTCTCCATCCCCAGATATCTGTCCACCGGAGCTCACCATTTCTGGTAAGAGGGCTCACTCGTTTTCAGTGATGGTGCATGGATTTAAAGAGTGGAGTGAATTGGAAATTCTACAGAAAAGGCCCTTGTGGCCCTTGGTGGATTAAACCACTTTGGATTCCAAGGATCGAGTGCACTTCAGCGGCTTCCCGACATCCATCCAGCCTCCCCGTGAGAGTGGGGCATCCTTGGGAGGAGGCTGTGAAGGCCCAAATAGATGTCATAGGAGGAACCCCGCCTCGCCCACCCTACTGTTTGCTTGCAACACTGGTGCAGAGGCTGTCAAGGTGCGCTTTAGAGAGGAGGTCTGGTGGGCAGGTCCTTTCCCTGGAAATTCTCTCCTGCAAAAATCCCCAGCAGCTTCCATCTCCTCCCCAGTCCAACTGAGGACTGTAATTGGAAGTAAGCCTCCCGGGAGTGGGGGTAGATGGAACAAGAAAGGCTCCCTTTCCAGGAGGAATTGGTAGGAATAGGAAGACTTCAGTCTCTCATCTCCTGCCCGTTGTTTCTCCCCGGGAGGGTTTCCTCCTTCATTACTTCCCTCCACATCTCAATAAATGTGGAGTGGAGAAAACGTCAGTGACCTGCCAGCTTCCTTCATGATCCCATGGTTTTCCATGGGCAGGGAGTCTTCTTCATAAACAGGACAAGTTCAGAGAGACAGCTTCTCCCCTACAGCCTAAAAGAGCACAGTCGGAGGGGAGGGGGTAGCTAGTGCATTTCCTTGCAGCCTTCAGTTTGCCTTGAGATGCAGACTTGCCCACAAGCTCCTCTTCTGCTTTCCTTGGAAAAGGAGAGAGAGCAGGTTGCTTTTCAGTGGGGGCTCAGATGTGGCATAATGGAGGCACCAAAGACACTTGATCCTTGTTTCCATGAGTGTGGTGCCCTGCGATACTGAAACAGGCAGTTTGGACAATCCTAGCAGTGAGTAAACCTCACAGCTGGACAACGGAGACATGAATTCCCCCTTCCTTCACTAATAGCAACAGCATCTGGATTGGGGCCACAGGAAGGGGAGGAAGTCAACCATGTCCCTAATAGAAATTATCTCGAGAGAGAGAGAGAGAGAGAGAGAGAGAGAGAGAGAGAGAGAGAGAGAGTTTGTTTGCTGGACAAATCCTCTGTGCATGTAAGCAATTGGTCAGGTGCTGCCAACGCCATGCTCCAATGGCTGTTCCAGCTAGCCTGGCCTGGGCTCCACATTCACCAATGCCATCTCTCTCTGGCATCTCTTGAAGAAGTGTTGGAGTGGGTCAAAGTCTTCGGCATGGGATACAGAAAGCTCTGTTGGTGGCGATGTCACTGATTCCGTTAAAGGTGAGGAGAGACAGCCAGTTGTCGCAGCCCGGAGGCTCTACTTTGGTCTGCTGCTGGGGGACCTGGAGCGTGTTTACTCAAAAGTGAGCTCCACTGAATGCAATGAGGATTACTCCCGGCTGAGGGCACAGTGGCCCACAGCCCATGTCAGGGCTTGGAGCAAAGTCTGGGAAGGAGAGTGATTGGGTTGCCCCAGCTGTTCAGCTGCATCTGCAGATGTACGGAGTGACCGTAACTGGTTTCCTGCTTTGAAACCTCACTGTGGCTTTGGGTGAAATTGACCACCGAGTTCTTCTGAGCCCTCTGAGAGGAATGGAAGCGCTCCGCTCTGCATGCAGCAGTTCCTCTCCTATCTGACAGGGTGAGGGATCAAAGTAAGAAGGTTTGCTCCACTCCGAGGCCTTTGATGGAAGTTGCTTCTTGACTCTGACGTTTTCCAAGAATGGTCAGCAGGCAGTCTGGAATATACTGTCATAGTAATGCTTCTGTTACTTCTGGAAGTGTTTGCCTCTCATAGTAGCCTGGAGCTGATAAAATATACTACAACCTCAATTTCAATTTCTCTAGTATTCCACTTGTCCAATTTTAAGTTGAAAGCATGCATAAAGTATGCACGTATCATGCCCTTTTTGCATTTTTCTGCCACGATGCACATTTTATATGCCATTTTGCCTCATGTACACATTTTTGCAAGCAATTTTTCTAACACTGCATTGAGAAGATAGTTTGTACTAATATATGGTTAGTGACTGCATAAATATTTTTATCTGCGCGCTTTTCCCTGTGTTTATTCCGACAAGCACAGTCCTAGACTGGAAAGGCACTATGGGCTCAACGCAGCAGGAGCTCTGCTCCAGGCACGCTCCGCACTGCGGGGGACGGAAGTGCCCTGCCATAGACCCGGCGCCACAGGCAGAAGGGCCATCTGCAGGAGCGACCTTGCAGCTGGCTCCTCTTTAGGTTCACCTGGGAAAACTGTGTTTAGAGTTGATCAGCAACCCCCTAGCCCAGCCTGTGCCAGTCACGCTAATCCCGATTAACAAGGAGCCGGAGGCGGGGAGAGCTGCTCTGCCCTTGAACCCTGCTTGGCTGAATGGTGGGTGACAAATCCCGCAAACCTGTAGGTTCCCTGAGGCTGCAGCCAAAGCTGCTGGGCCCGGCAGGGATTTAGCTGGATTAATCTTGCTTTGGTGGCTTCTCGGCTGCTCCCACAAACTTTCCCTGGAATCCTTCTCTCTGTGGTGCGGAAGCAAGAGGGGGTGGGGGTACATGGCCAGAGGCGGCTGCACTGAGCCCCCTGGCTGCGTCTGCACAAGATGGGCCAGAGCTGCGGCTAGCTTTGCACGTGAGCCAGCGCCTCGCCCTGTTTCCACAGGTGGCAAAAGCCTGGGGCGTCTTCAGGCCCCTGCTAGGCTGACCGTGTGACACAGTTGGGTCGTCCTCCGCTAGGTAGGCCATAGCCTGGGCATCCTCTTCAGCCTTCCACCTCTTCAGACTGGATGGTTTTATTTATTTATTTTCCGATTCATATCCTGCCTTTTCCTACAGAGGGCTCAAGGCAGTTTACCCCATTCTCCTCCATCTTCTCCCCACAACAACCACCCTGTGAGGTAGGTTGGGCTGAGGGTCTGTGACTGGCCCAAAGTCACCCAGTTGGCTCCATGGCTGAGTGGGGACTCGAACCCGGATCCTCTGAGTCCCAGTCCCGCACTCTTAACCACTACGCCACACTGGATGATGCCTGTGAGCAAAGATGGAAGCAAAGAAGCCTGCAGAGGAGACCCTTCCCAGGGCAGCCAGGAAGTTGGCTGGGTCAACGCGGATGCTGGGGAAGGGTCTGCAGGGGGTGCAGCTGGGTGACGGCGACCCAGGAGCACAAGGGCAGGCCTACGCGATCATTTTGTTTCAGAGCTGACCCAAGACCTATCCAGTTCATCACTCTGTTCCCATAGTGGCCAACCAGGAGCCCGTGGCAAGTCCACAGGCAGGACATGAGCCCAAGGGCACCTCCCAGCAGCTGGGGTGCACTGGCACACTAGAACTGATGCTGGAAGGATCAAAGAGCCCTCAGGAGGAGTAGCCCCGGGTGGGAGGGATTTGGGTCGGCCTTTCCTGGAATAGGCTGTGGGACCAGAGTGGGGCTCATGCCCTGCTGGGTATTGTAAGCCCCATCATCTTGCCAGGGTGCCGGGCAGACGCACAGGCCAGGCGCTGGGATAGTTGTTCTGGGTCGGTAAAGCAACCGAACTGAAGCAGGGGAACAGGCCTGGCCTGGAGTGCCTGCTGCCTCCGCTGGCTGGCTGGCCCCGCGGTCCATGGCCGGCCGGCCTGCTCAGCCAGCCTCTCACTCACTCACGTGGTTGGCCGGCTGGCCTGGCTGCTCCTGCCCAGAGGCCGCTCCTGCCCTGTGTCCCAACCGGGGGCTCCAGCAGGGGGTGGCTGACCTCTCATGGGAGCTCTGCGCCTGGGCACAAGGCCACGGCAGCCCCCATAGTAAGAAGCGGCGGTGGCCAGCGGCACAGCGGACAGGTGTCCAGTTGCGCTCTTGGCATGGAAAGCAGCTGGTGGGGAGCCTCCGGGCACCCTCTGAAGGGGGTGGGCGGCAGCCGCAGGCCCTCCTGGGGAAGCGAGGGTGGACAGCGTGCGGCTCCTCGCCCTTCCCGCCCTGCTCCTGATGTGGTTGCCTCAGCCTGCCTCCTGGAGGGCTGGCCCCGAGTCGAAGCGAGGGTGGGACCTTCAGAAGCAGCTTTCACTCTCGTGACTTGGCTCTGTGGATTGCAGGCACTGCTGCAGCGCAGCCGCCGAGGTGAACTATACCAGCGGTGGAAATGGTGCCTTTCTGTCCCATCCCTTCCCAGGCCCTGCCACTCACCCTCCTCCCAAACCTGCAGCAGCAAGCCAGGCTTTAATTCTGCCCTGCATGGAATGGGAGCTGGGCTGTAGCAGGGTGCAACCAGACCCTTGTTTTCGGTCATCTGGAGCTCTTGGGGTATTATTATTATTATTATTGAATTATATTGCTATCCTGCCATTTTTCCTTCCAAGGAACCCAAGCTGGCTGACATAATTCTCCTCCTTTCCTCAATCTTGTTCTCACAACAACAATCCTGTGAGGTAGGGTTGAGCCAAGAGCCAGCGACTGGCCCAAATCTCACCTGGTGAGCTCCATGGCTGAGGGGGGACTAGAACTTGGATCACTGCAGTCCTGGTCCTGTGCTCTTAGCCACAACACTCTGGCTCTCTTTGCTATAGTGAGTGGCCGGGGACTCACTCGGCCAACTTTCCAGGGGCCTTTGCTCTTGGATTCTGAAGGGGAGGACACCAAGGAAGAGGCGAAGAGAAGGCAGGTGGATGAAAGGAGGGGAGGAGCCTCTGAAGCTGCATCAAGGTTTCCCAGGCTGACTGCGAGAGCAGGTATCCCTTGGAAGAGACAGGAAGGGACTCCAGAGATGGGGGAGAGCTGTTGCTTTGCCCAGGCCCTGACCCACAGCGAGGCATCGGGAGAGACATGCTACCCAGTTGCGGGCTTGTGTAGGTCTCACGGACCGGCTCTCCACCAGTGGGAGCCACCCTGAAGGTGGAGCCTGCAGTGTGAATGACGGGGAAGGACTGGGAAGACGTTTCCAGGTTGGCCTCCACACTCTTGCATTCTTTGCATGGGCAGAGGCTTCCTAGGGGCTTTTAGAGTTGTATTGTCTCGTTAGCTGTGAAGTGCTAACGCAGACCTGCATTGCAAAGGACTGTCTGGTGTTTTGGAGCATGGGGCAAGAAGAGGAGGGTCCGGATTCTGGCAACCAGGCAGTGCAGCAGGATTCTGTTGGTCATCTCAGTATAAGGAATGCTATTGCCTCCTTACAGCTCCTGCTTCCCCTTCAAACCAGCGAGCAGCTCCAGCGGCCAAGCCCAAAGTGGCCCTGGATCCCCATATCCGCCTCAAGGACGACAAACTTGAACTGGTGAGTCCGACAAGCACTGACAAGGAGAGGCTTGATTCCCCAGCAGAGAGGCCCGTCTCTTTCTGAAACCACGTTCAGCAGGATGTCTGAGGGCCTCGAACTGAGGGCCAGGAAGGGTGCGGCAGGGGAAGGCAGGCCCAGCTGAAGAGCTCCGGGAAAATGAATGCTCAGGCAGAGGTTCAGCTGAGCCTTCAGGGACAGGGAGTTGCACAGTGGGAGCCGGTCGCCCGAGATGCTTTTCCACTCGGCTCCATGGCTGACCATGGGTGGTCCCACCAACTGAAGAGAGCAATTCAGGGCCCCTGGTCAGTCTCCCGAGAGCCACAAGTGGGCTTGGATGGCCTCAGAGGGAAGCGTGGGAGATCCACCTCCTTCCTCCAGTGCCCACAGAGACAAAACCAGGCCAACTGCTTCTCTGAGGGCAGAAGAACAACCTTAGGAAGGGGGAAGGAAGTGCATGAAGACGGATGGAGGGATGAGGGTCCGGAGCGGCCGAGATGCAGTGTCCCCTGAGCTACCTCCAGCCTGCTTCTCTCCACCGTCCTCCAAAGCCCCCTCGCTGCAGAGACTGCAGAGACTCCCTAAAATGAGGGAGGTTGGAGGGTGGGGGAGCAAGGAGGGCCTCTTCCACGCCTTCCGTCCTCCTGGCTTCAGTACAGTGAACGCAAGCATCTTTGAAGCCTCTGAGTTCCAACGTTTCTGAGTCACAAAGGCACAGCCTGTAGGATCGTGCCCTAAAGGTCCCCGACACCCTGTTTGGTCTTAAAGACTTGAAGGGACCTAAGCATAGAAGGCTATTACTCGATTATCCCACTTTCCCTTTGCGGAAAAGGTACTCGTAAAAGATGGACTAACAAAGTTGAAAAAGGAAATGAAACACCACCACTGTGGCATTACATATATCAGTATATGTACATATCCAGTATCTCATTGGATCCAGATTTATCCTTAGAATAAATTCTAAGGATAAATAATCCTTAGAAACAACTATTCAATCGATGAGATTTCAGCTCAACTTGATTTCAATGGGTTTGTCCTAAGGATGACTATCTAAGCCAGCACTTTCTAAATACTGAACTTATAAGCACGCAGGAGAGCATTCATGGAATCAGTAGGACTGCTGGGGACCCTGACAGGTAACTCCAGGGTTAGGCAAATGGCAGGTGAATGGCCCACCATGGCCAGGAAATTTCAGCCAGAGATTCTTCTGGAAAGGAAGGGCCAGTTTAGAGAAGGAAGGATCTCTTCCCTCTGCATCCCATGGGGTGGATTTAATCAAGGTGTCTTCATCGGTTTGAGTTTGAGGAAGGGATGCTGGAAGAAATCCCCAAAGCAAACTCATCTGATCTGTAGTTCCTGAATGAATGTACAACCCATACCTGACCTGTGTTAAAATCCTATACAGTTCAAAAAGATGGTCCAAGGACCATCTTGTAAACATTTATTTTATTTCAGCATTTATTTATTTATTTATTTATTTATTTATTTATTTATTTATTTATTTATTTTGCAGGCGATGGCTGTTTGGAGCCATGACAAAGCACAGCTTCTGCTTTGTGTGTTTTCTCTGGGAGGCTTTTGGGGAGATGGCACAGAAAATCTCACAGCCACCTCCATGGGTTACGTAGGACATCTCTGGGAGGGGTGGGAGGCTGTCTATTCAGGAGTAATTGCCCGTATCCCAGAATGCCAGGGAGGCTTTCATGACCTCCTTCCAGAGAAAACAAGGTCTGGGTGAGCCCCCTGCAATTTCTTACAGCTTGGGCATGGGGCGGAGGGCATGTAGCAATCCATAATGATTGCCCCCTTCTCCAAACAGATGGGGACCCCTTCCGCTAGCGTGCACCCTACTCCAGTAACTAGTTGGTGGCCTGGGGCTCAGCTCTTCTCTGTTTTGGAGCACACTTCTGGCTGTGGCTCATGTGGCCTGAAAGCCCCTTCCCCCTTCCCCACTATGCTGCCACTGGCCTGACAGGGATGCTACCCTGAAAGGTGTACGACAGCCTTGTTGACCAGGTGGGCCCCTTTCCTGGTCCTTGTGCAGTCCTCCAGCCTCGAGGTGATGGAGGCACACATGAATGCAAGCGCATTTACCAGTGGATCTCCATGGCTTCTTGCTTGTTGCCTCTTCTCTCTGCCACCACCCCTGACCCTGCTGCTCTGCCTTTCCTGTTCTGGCCACATGCTCCTCACCTGAAGATGCTGCAGTACCTGAGCCTGGACATGAGTGAGGACAAGAAGAGGCAATTGCATCAGAGCCTGACCACAGACTCACAGGGGACCGTGTCCTATGGAGGTGAGCGCAAGCGCTGTTCCCCCACCTGGCACCGCGTGGTGGGCCGCCACACCTGTTATTCCCCGTGAGAGTGGGCAGTGGAGAAATGGATCTCCTTTTTTCATCGAGAGAGGTGGCTTATATAATCTCCCTCCTATTTGTTTTATCCTCACAACAACTTTGTCAGGTAGGGTAGGCTAAGACTCAGTGAATGGGCTAGAGGTGTCCAGGGAGTGGCATGGCCAAGCGAAGAGCAGTACCACATTGTCCTAGGCCCACCTCCGCACCCCGACCGCTGCACCACTCCGGGTCTTGACATGATTGCTTCTGTCTTGATCAGACGAGGGGAAACAATGATCTGGTTTAGTTCCTTTGCTCTTAGAGACTTTGCTTGGTCGCCCAGCCCGTCGCACTGGCGCTGCGTGGCGTGCTTGTGGGGCTGCTGGCCAGACAGGCTCCTCTGTTCTCTTTGGGGACAGTCCCAGAGCCACCCAGGGAGCTCCATCCCCAAGACAGGGCTGGAACCCAGATCTCTGAAGTTCAGTCTAGCACACTGGCCACTGCAGCACAGCGAAACCTTGCTGGATCATACTGATGGTTGGTCTAGGCCAGGATTTTACTTCCCACCAGGTGTCTCCAGGAAACCCAAAGTGCCCCAACAGCTGCTTTTGGGGAACATATGGCTGACAAAGTAGAAGCTACATGTCAGTGGGGCTGAGTAGCCATTCCAGATGCCACCCTGAACTTTTAAGGAGCTATCCATGGTACTCCACCTGGTCTTGGGTTAGGGTTCAGCACCATGGATAGCTCCTTTGAGGCCCAGAGCAGGCATACATCCCTGCTGTCACTGGAGCCACCTGCCTTGGTTGCCAGTGCTGCCAGTGACTCCTGATGGACCTTCGGGGGTCCTGCTCAGAAAAGAGCAGGCCAGTGGGTCCTGATGATGAGACCTTCTTAGTGGGGGCTTCATGGTTGCAGAGTTCCAACTTTCCCTCCAGTTTTAATGGGTCCTGAAGATCTTCCTTTTCCATTAGGCCCATAATGAATGAGATTGTGCTGATTGTTTATCCCAGTGCTTGTCCTTTATAGAACTTTAGAGTTGAAAGGGACTCTTCCCCAGCCTGGTGTGCTCCAGGCGTTGTGCAGTTCTGTCCCCGTCAGCCCTCGCCTGAATAGCCTAAGGTCAGGAATGTAGTCCCAAGGATCAGGAGGGCACCAGACTGGGAGAGGGTGATGTAGCCCAACTCCTGCTTAGTCAGGGTGTGATTACAGCACCTGGCAGACAGCACTTGAGCCAAAGCATGTCAGAGAAATCCAAGAAAGATCGAACGAGTCTGCATGTCTGTGAATCCAACCCATGCATTCCACAGCAGGCCGGGTTTTCCTGAGTCAAATGCATTCTGTGGACATTTTAAATTCCTGGAATTTTACACAGATGTGTGATGTAAAATACAATTATTCTTTTGAACAACACTGGCTGAAAACAACCATTTCCCCCCCTCCCTGAAGTCATAATGTGAAAATGTACATGGGGGTGGGGGGATTTGCAGCTTTGTAGTAGTGCCAATTTGCACAAGTATGGATGCCCACAAGTTTGGTAAAAGTCCAGTTCCATCCGTGAGTGGTTGATGAAACACACGTGAACTGATTGGCCGGCCTGCGATGTGCAGATGGAATTGCTCTACTAAAAATTGGCCGTCCCTTGTCCAGTTTCTGCTCAAAGCTATAGCGAAGGGGAGCTTATCATCTCTTGGAGCAGCATGCTTGGCCATCAAGCGGCATCGCCATCAGGGCTCTGTTCCCCACGACTGCCTGAAGCTGGCTTCCTTCTCTGGCTTCCACTGGTCCTAGTCCCGCCCTCAGATGAAGCAGGGAATGACTCCCCTCCTTCTCGGGGCCTTTCGCGGCTTGCTTTGTTGCCTCTCATGACTGGGCTTTTGTGTTTTTGCAAAGCACCTTGGGAAGATGTGTGTCTTTAATAGGCAAATACACATGATTAATAATCATAAATAAATGCATCTCTTCTTAAAGATTCTCTGCCTCTCTAGGCACAGCTTTTAGCAAAAGAAAATATTCAAGGGGAGAGGCTCTAAAAATGTGTTATGTTCAAAAATGACACTATTGTGGACTGCTGTCTGGGGTTTGGTGATGAAAAGGTGATGGAAAGCTTTTTCTGACACTGAGCGTGTCATTCCAAGGAGCTGCCTTCATTAGTACAGTGGGGCTTGTTGCATTAAGAGACCAGTAATTCCTGGATGCCCCCAAGCCCACTGCTAGCTTGTGTATTGGTGGTGCTTTTTTGGCCACATTGGAAATAAAGAGAAAGCTTTCTAGGCCACAAAAGGCCACACTTGTGGAAGGGACCTGGTCAGAGCGCCAAAAGGAGGAATCTGTACAAAGCCAGAGAACAACATGTGCACGCAGAGTTGGTGTGACTGAGCACCCCAACTGCAGCAGTCATTTTTGTCTGAGACAAAACCCGACTGGGCCTGATCAGATATAATAGGAAAGCCCAGCTTCCTGCTCTGTTCAAGTACCTGCACGATCTTTTGGCTTCCCCATCCTCTTCTTCATCACCACCAGAAGCATCTGTTTCTCCTTTTCAATAAATAGGTCCTAGTTAAATTTGAATCCATGGGACTGTGGCTTGTTCACATGCCAATTAATGAACAAACTGGGATCAAACTGTGCTCTTTGATTTTATTTTTTATTTATTTTATTTTCCGATTTATATCCTGCCTTTTTCCTACAAAGGGCTCAAGGCAGCTTACATCTCCTCCTGCATCTTATCCCCACAACAACAACCCTGTGAGGTAGGTTGGGCTGAGAGTCTGTGACTGGCCCAAAGTCACCCAGTTGGCTCCATGGCCGAGCGGGGACTAGAACCCAGATCGCCTGAGTCCCAGTCCCTCGCTCTTAACCACTACACCACACTGGCTCTCTTGACTGGCTCTTTTGACTTGTTCATTAACAAACATTGAAATGAAATGCACCTTCCTTGGTTTGGATGTTCCTATGGCTTGTATTAAAGCAGAAACAGCTGTTTCTGCTCTCTTCACAGCCATACAAGGGAAGGGAAATGCAGGCTTATCCACGGCATGAGATGGCGTGACTACTGAGATGGTTCAGACATAGTGCCAAGCTAGGCTTTGGAAAGCCGGGCAGAGGTTGCTTGCCATGTCCGACCTATACCACAACACCCGAACTGCTATAGCAGCATTTGAAACATTGCTTCATCTTAGCACAACATCCAGGGGTCATCAAGGGAGAGAGTAGAAGAGGGGAGCAAAACCGGAACCCCACTGTTTGCTTGTGTGTCAGCAGCATGAATCCTAATTTACAGAGTAAGCTAAAGTTCCAGCAAACCCTTTGTGCTGTCCAAAGTTACTGCTGCATTAATGCACCACACCTGTCTGAATGCTTATTGTTCCTCTCCCTTCTTCCCTCGCACAGACTTCCTCCAGGCTCTCCGGGATCTGCTGCCAGAGGAGCAGGAGGACGCCAGCCTCAGTTCCAGTTCCGTGCTCTTCACCCAGCATGAAGTGGCCACCTTACTGGACACTTCAGCTTTCCATTCTCTGGTAGCTCTGACATAGCTCGATGTTTCTTGTTCGTTTTCCCTCTGCCTGTGCTTGGGTGGGGTGAAGTGTCCTTCTGTTTAGAAGCTGCTTAATGATGATCTGAGCATTTTCTAAAAGCAAAGCAAAACGGTCACCCTTGTCCAGCAAAGGAGACTAACATGTAGAGTCAAGATTTTGCATGTAAACTCAACACCTCCTGACACGCCTTAACCGAACCAGATGGATGCATCGTGCAAAAAGTGATCCCAGCTTGAACCAAGAGCTAAAAGCAACTGGCTTGAGTGTGAGAGAGAGTGCCGTTGTACTGGGGCCTCTTTGTATTCCTCAGTGCAAGGGAGAACGCATATGAATAGCAGTGTTGCGCACGATGGGACTAAATCAAAGCCAGTCGAAGCCCAGAGGCCGCATGCGCAGAGATGAAGGGGAAGACGATCACATGGAAACAGAAAGAATTGTCCCAATAGCCATTGTAAAGACATGGAAGAGAACAACAAAAGAGGAAAACAAGAAAGCTCTTTCAGAAGGACCAAGAAATCAAAGGGAAATTCAAATGTAGATTAGGAATGCTGAAAGTGAAAAGGGGGCATACTATCTGTCCAGGAGAGAATAAGGTGGAAACAGTATAGACAAGATTATACAGAAGAGATGAAAGGATGACAGATTCTTTTGAAGAGGAATCTTACAAGGAAGAGCCTGCAGCATTAGAAAGTGAAGTGAACACTGCTCTGAATGCACTTGAGAAGAAAAAAACACCCAGAGTAGAGAGGATGCCCACACAAGAATCAATACAGATCATCTTGATCTCTTCTAAAGCTAAGATTTTCAGCTTAAACTTTCAGCATTAAAATTCACTGAGGAAATGCTTTGCTATGATTTTTAAAGTTCATAGGCCAGGCTACCGTTATGCAGAGAGAAGATCATTGGCCAAGCATTGCTATGCAGATGTTCCCACTTTGCCTAACCTCAGGAAGGACTAAGCCTTAAGTTACCTGTACTTGCTGAGAGCCTTTCTGATGCTGGCAGAAGCCTCCTGAGGAAAAAAGTTCACCCAGAACAATGGCCTTTCCTAGGCGGCATTTTTTTCCTGAGGTGATTTCAACTGGGGTAAAAAAATAACCCCAAATGAAACTGATGGCAGCACGACTGGCCGTTGGCATGGTCAAGCAGACTTGTGTGGCTGCCGCGGTGGATGGTCCTTGCTTTGGTGGGGAGAGGCACATATCCTGAAGGTGCCTGGCTGTCAGGAGGCCGTAACTTACGCCTCCAATTAACTCACACAGCAGTCAGCAATAAAACTTAGGACTTTTATTGCTATTTACTACAAGATTTACGATGCAACAGATAAGCTCTGACAACGAGCTCCTAGCAGCTCAGCTGCCCCCTCCTTTCCGAACTAAGAGGAAGAAAGTCACGTGAACCTTAACCTCCTCTCACATTTCTCTGTCCGTGGGTGGGACAAACTTCTCTCCTGCCATTCCAAATGGTCTAGCCTCTGCAATCTTCTCCGGAGTTGGGCGTTCTGTAAATTTCCTGTTACGTCTTCCTGTTCTCCAGGACTCAGCCTAGCAGCTTCAGAGTCTGGGGGCGGGGGGACAACTTGTTCAAACACCTCGGAGTCTACAGGAAGGGAAGCTGCACCCTGCTCCAACAACTCAGAGCCAGGATGCGGGGAGGCTACTTGCGAGGAAGCCTCAGAGTCGGGTTGCAAGGGGGCCATTTGGGCCCTGGGCCCCAAGTATAAATCTCCTTGTTCCCACGCCGGACCCTCACTGTGAGCTTCTGGCCCTCTTTCGTGTGCCAACACCTCTGCCGAGCCGTAAGGCATGGCACTGGCCCACCCATCCTCTCTCACGTGGCGTGCAATCCTTCTTGCAGACCTGTGACTCCATCAGCTGCAACGACAACGAAGAGCTAGAGCAGCTGCAGCTGGAAACTGCAGACCTGCGACAAGAGGTGCGGAGGCTAAAGGTGAGGGACTCACCTGGGAAGGGGTAAGAGAGGTGATTTGAAGTCCTGGGCAAGTGCCCACATTTCTACCCCTGGTGCCGGCCCATGAAATTCTCCATGTCTCCTTTAGCAACATTAGAGGCTGTTTTCTATCAGGGCAGACTACCAATTTATCTAGCCAGGACTGTCCTTGCTGACTGACAGCAGCTCAAATGCATACATAAATAAATCAATATTTAACCAGCTTACCTGGAGGTGGCAGGAGTATGAACGGAAGTTTTTGCATGCCAAACCTGTGCTCTACCAGTGGCTTACAGCTCTTTCCCAAGATGGAGAAGGGAAAGAGACCGGCTTAGGTCATCTTTAGTTAAATTGTAAATCTGTAGGCAAAATCTGGTTGGTTTTCACTTACGTGCAATATGTAGTCAGTCACTGTGTTATTTCTAGAGCGCTTTCCCTCCCAAGGGGCCCAGGGCAATGCACAACATAGTAATTTTTTAAAAAGTTGGTCAGAATTTTAAACAATCATAAAACATATTGGTTATATTTAACTGATTAAGACATCCACAATAAAATCTATCAGTCAGATATAACTATAACCCTCCACCACTGCAAAATTAGACTGAAAACATGAAAATGTTAAGGAGAATACCTTGACCGATATTCATTACAAACTGGTATATAGACTGCCAAAATATGTAGATTTTTTTCTACCTGAAAAGTGATGCCCATAGAAAGCATGGTGAAATTTTGGAATGAACAAGGACAGGGCATTTTTAATTATTTTTTGAGTGACAAGATGGTATGGCATGTTTGCTTGCTTGCTTTGCTCTGCTCCCTAGTCTCTCCTGAAGGAGGTGGAGAGCACCAAGAAGTCCATGGAAGATGAGCTTCAAAGACTGAACCAGGTCAGTGAAAGGTTGGGAGATAGATGAACTGCCTTGCTCACATTGGCATGGCTGAGCAAGGAATTAATGGCTAGAATGGCAGTACCAGCTCACAGTGCAAGAACTCTGGCTTTTTGCTAGGGATGCCAACCAAGTTCTCTGCATTGGGTGTCAGAATCAAGACTTGGCAGGGATCTGCCAAGTCCATTTCAAAAGGAGTCATTTTCCTGGGGAAAGAATGGCTCTTGAACATGTGCACTGCATAGGAGTGTGACTTTTGTGCTTTGCCATCCATGCTCCGCTGCAGGAATATCATTGTGCACACAGAGATGGGCTTGTGGCTGCTTGTCAGCCCTCAAATTCGGTGCCCCATCGCATCTCGCAGATGAAGCAGTGCATGTCCTCATTGTCCTAAGGGAGATTTCTGGCAGAAACCCCACCCCCACCCTGGGGCTAGCATGGCCTGTTGCTGAAAGCTCTGCCTGGCCATCTGGCTGCTGAACGCATGTGCACTGCAATCGCTTGTCTTCCGTTGGTTTCGGGGCTTGGAGGGTGTTTTGTACTGGGGTTAAAAATACACGCTGACATAATTTTCCTAGAATAGATGATCAGAAGGTGAAAGTATTGCTAAGCAACTGCAGCGTGTGGAGTGGTGGGCTGCGTGCTGTGTTCGTGATGCATACGAGCACATGTGAACCACAGGCAAGAAGCAGCTGCCCACTTAGAAATTTGGAGAGGCAGGAGGCAGGGTGGAACCTTGCAGAACAGTTGTCTTCCAACCTGGCACCCTCTGGGTGTGCTGCACTGCAAGTCATATCATTGGCCAGGCTCACTGGGGAGTATGGGATGGTTAGCACACCCCGTTTGGAAGGAATCTGTTTGGAGAAGGCTGTTGTAGGGTGATGGTAGCAACTTACCCTGCCAGTGTGTCAATACAGCACCCCCAGAAGGGCAAACAAGAGGAGCTGCAGTTGACCAGGACCTGCCCCAATAAATGAGAAAGAGATGGAGAAAATGGGAGGCTCTTCCCCGGAAACTGGATGCCTAAGTTGAGGTTCCACAGGTGGTGGAAGACGTTTGAATACAGACTGGATTTGGGGGGGCCAGGGGCATGGCAAGGTCTGGCAAGCGAGGATGTAGGAGGGTGGAAGTCTGCGGGTTCCCCGGGTTGGCTTCCCAGGTAGCATCCTGCTTTTCTGTGGGCTCCCTGGATAATGTGTTGCGCATTCGCATGGCTGCCTGCCAGGGAACGAGCCTGTGTGAGCACTGCGCAAGCAGTGGCCCTCTTCCCCTCGCAGCCCTTGCAGCCTTCGTTTGTGCTGCATGCGATGCCAAAGGAGATGGCTGGTTAGGCAGCTGGAACTCTGCACATGTTCATGGGCTTCCTCTCGGTTCAGCTTGGCTTGCTTCCAGTGAAGGGTCCAAGCCTGAGACGAAGTCTGCAAACGGAGGAGGGGCAGACTCTGGGGAGCTTCGTTGCAGTGCCAGCGGGAAGGTGGACAGGGGTTGGGCCTGTTCGGTACAACGGCCCCATACGTGGAGGCTCCCTGTCCAGCTGCCGGGCAACCTCAGCTGGAACACCTGGACCAGGAGGGGTGGAAGGAGGGCCAAACCTTCCTCAGGCACTGGCCAGCGCCTGGCAAGGTGAAGCAGGGCCAGAGGCAAAAGCCAGGTCAGGAGCAGGTGAGGGGCAGATGCCAGCAGAGGCAGGGCAGGATTCGTGCTGCCCGCGCAATCGTAATGGCTTGCTCTCTTCTCCTGTGAGTTTGTGTAATGAAAGCTTTGTCTGGCAGCGTATTCTGCACTCTAACAAGAAGTGCCGCCTCTTTGCAGCCCAGACGTGCTTGTACACAATGGAACAGCCCAGCCCTGTGCGCCTCGGTGGGGACATTTCGGGTGGGCAGGAATATGTGGGGGTGCAGACCCTGGGGTCCTCATCTCACCCGCTGAGGATTCCGTGGAGAGCCACATCCCCCCCACCCCCGGTTGATGGCTCCCTGCTTTTGGGCAGCCCTGGGCCACCCAGCCCCGCTGTGCTGCAGTTTGGCCCAACGAGCTTCTCTGCAGTGCAATTTGGCCCTACTGTGCATAGCGTGAAGGGAACGATTTCAGCCGTAACATTCCGCTTCCTTCCCACGCGCCCCTGCCCCCGCCCCCCCCTTGCAGAAGGCACTGGGGTTCCTCTCGGAGAACCGAAGCCTGCAGAGCAAGCTGCAGGTGGCTGAGGTGTCCCAGCGGCAGGCACACAGCGCAGAGCAAGACTACGAGGAAGTGATCCACCTGCTGGAGGCAGAGATCGCTGAGCTGAAAACGCAGCTTGCGGGGAAGAAGGCCAAGCGGGCTTCCGAGACAGAGGTCAGTCTGCAGGGAGGGGTCCGTTGGGACCGCCCCCACCCCCAGTGGGGTGTGCCCCAGGGTTGTTGCACTGCACCCTGTCAGGGAAGGAAGGGTGGCTGCAGGCACCCTGGGGTGCGCCATCGAGAAAGGTGCAAGGGACTCAAACGAGTCTGGGCTACTGAGACTCGGAACTGCATGTTGAGTAGTGATTGGCCTTTCCCAGGCTTCATGAATTCTGTGGACTTTCTGTAATTTTATGCAAATTCATTCATATAAAATAAGAAAAAAAAAGACTAGAAATGAGCGTTTCCTTTATCGGCTGAAGTACAGAAATGCACATTTGTCAGAGATGTATGCTTTTGCAGGGGGGGGGAATTGATGCATTTTGGGGAATGTAAATTTGCACAACTGAGAATTTGCATAAATGCATATGTGTGTGTTCAAAATCCAGTTCAATCCACAAGTGGACAATGGAACAAAAGGTAAAAGGCTGAAAATTTGTGAACAGATTTTACAATGTGCTTACATTTCTAAGTCAGAAGAGGCTGTATTAGATAGAACATTCATGTAGACAGAACATTCATGTTTCCGTTGTGCATGCAATGTGTGTGGCAAGCTGGTTTTCACAGAAGGGAAGTGTGGATGGACGGATCATTCAGTTTCACTCCAGTATCTCAGTTTTCTGCAGTCTTAAACTTGGTTCATCAGGAACACTGAACATTTTTTTAAACAGGTTTGTATTAAAGTTCATTGTGTACATGTCTCTTAAAACATAATTTTGAATGTATTTTTGTCAAATACATCCTTTTTTGCAGGCAGCATTCCTAATACACTGCATTTGAAATTATTTTTCCCTAATATGCATATTTATGAGTGAATGTTTGACTAGAAAGCTCCACTGCAGCTTTTGAAGGAGAACAGCTTTCAATGGATCATTGTGTTTTGGTTCAAAAGTGCAACATTGGGTGAATATACATTAAAATGCACGTTTTAATGAATCCTCACCCACCAAAGGAAACAGGGAATTGAGACTATTGGTCCTTGTTGTCCAGAAGGGCCTCCTCTGACCTTCCAAACTGTGTCCAGTTCTGGACACAACACTTGAAGAAGGTTCCCTGTACACTGGAATGAATTCAGAAAACTGTAGCAAAGATGATCAGGGGACTAGAAACGAAACATTACAAGGAAAGATGGGAGAAACTGAGCATGTTTAGCCTTGAGTAGGAAGACTGAGGGAGGACACGAAAGCTTTTTTCAAGTGCTTCAGGGGCTGTCACCTGGAAAGAGGACATGAGGTTGTACAATCATACCGGCAGCAATTTTGTGGGAGCACGCACAGCGAGAGAGTGCTCCCCATGTAGCCACTGACCTCAAAAGGCTGAGGGCCCCTGGGGTGCCGGCACCTGTGCCTCTTGTTCTGAGCAAAACGGTGAGAAGGGTGGATGCGAGAGAGTCATATAAAATGATACACAGCGTGGAGGAAGCGGATGATCTTAGAACTCACGGAGTTTATCCAATAAAGCTGTGGAAGAGGAGGTTCGGGATAAATGAAGGGCTTCTTCACAGCCAGCAATGCATCATTTGGTTCATAGCTAGGCTAGGGATTGCTTACGCCAGGAAGTAGCCATGGCCACCATCCGGAAAGCTTCAAGAGCGGATTAGACAAATGCGTGAAGGATGAGGCTATCAAGGGCAGCTAGGCATGGCGGCTGCACGCTCCTGCCAGCGCTGGAGGAACACAGCCAGAGACGAGGCTGCGATTGTCTCCTGTCCTGCTTGGGGGCTCCTGTGTGAGTGGAATGCTGGACAGGAGAGAGCCCTGGTCTGGTCCGTTTGCATGCTTGGCCTACCCAGTGACCAAAAGGGGCTCAAATGTGTAAGGGGGCTGGCCCAAGACTGAAGCCCTTTCTTCTGGGTAGCACGCAGATCCCCTTAGATAGCGTCAGTGCTCGTGGTTCATCCTTTGGGAAAGTCATCTCATTTCTTCTCTTCCCCTCTTGTTTTCCCTCTCCAAATCAGACCGATATCCTAGAGCTGAAAAAGCGTCTGTCTTTGCTTGATGGGCAGCTGAGAAAATCTGAGGTTACCCGGAAATGCCTGGAAATCTACAACAGGAAGCTGCTCTTGTTCGTACAGGTGAAGCGCTGAAGTGCCAGCAGCTATGTAGACCCGGCTGCCTTGGGCATCCAAAGAGCCGCAGCACAAAGGAACTGATGGTCACTGCGATGGCTCCAGTCACCTGCTGTGCAGATGAAATGCATCAACCATGGACAGTACTACTACTGCTATTGCTGCTGCTGCTATGTCCTACTGCTGTTTGTAGTAGCAGTAATAACAATAAATAGTAGGAGTGGGGTTGTAGTAAATACTACTATTAGTACTAGTGAAATAACAAACACCACTACTAGTAGCAATAGCAATACAGTAAATACTGTCGCGGTGGTCATGCGTAAGGGCTGAGCCCAGCACCTCTGCAAGACGTGGCCTTTGCTCTTGACTCAGAGGAACATGGCAGGACCCAGCACCCGGAGCCCTGTGGGCCTGCTGGGGGAACAGGGCGGGACCAAGCATTAGGGGTCCCAGGGCTGAATATCGGACCAGAGGGGTGGGGAGCAGCTGGGCCTTTTTACAGCTGCTGAAATCAGGCTCAGAGACTTGGGAGCGCTCTTCTGCTGTGTGTCAGGCAGCTAGATGGAGCCTCCTGCAGGACACGCTGTTCCATTCTCTGGTGCTCTGCACCCTCATTTCTGCCTCTGGCATGAAATGCTGAGTGTTGTGGTCACAGAGCAGGGTTGGTCCTCTTTGGAGAGAGCATGTGTGCATTTTTAACCCCCTCAGGCCTTTTTCCCTCTAAAGATGTTTATTTCTGCAAAGCTTTATTTATTCAGTTACATGTATAGCCCGCCTTTTCTTCATCTCACAAGGAATCCAAGGTGGTTCCTCCTCCTCTCCATTTATCCTCACAACAACCCTGTGAGGTAGCTTACACTGAAAGTCAGCGAGTGACCCAAAGTCACCAGTGAGCTTCATAGTGGAGTGGGGACTTGAACCCTGATCTTCTGACTCCCACTGCTACACTCGAGCCACTGGCTGTCTTGGGATCCTCTTAGCCTGCTGAGACCTCTGCTTTCAGTGCGGATGGAACCACTTTAATGGTCAGTGGTGGGGAACATGTCAGAAGGGGGTTCCTGCTTTTTCCCTAGTGATAATTGATCTCCTGTATCTTCTGTAGCTAAATTTTCGATCAAGATTAATCCATATGATTGATGTGGCTTTCATCAATTTGCTTGGCCTGAGGGGCTTTTTGTTTCTTTTTATTATCATGGACTCCTATGGGCCCTCCTTAGGGTTAGCAGCAAGGGGACTAGACTTTTAAAGGATCCAGGAAACAAAACCCTCCCCAGGAAAGCAATGAGTTGCATTCTTGTAATACTGAAAGCCCCTTTCCCCCACTTTCTCTCTCCCAGAATGCCCATAAGCTTTTGAGCACACCCTGTGCACTACCGGAGGAGAAGAGGTGAGAAACATGCTTGGGAATCATCTTTAGCGTTTGCGCAGAGTGCGTATGAGTGTTCAAAACACTTCATAGAACAGCAGTAATCCTTGCAACAACCCTGTAAGGTAGGCCAGCTTTTTCACCGTAGTGCAGACGGTGAGCCTGAGACCACAGCGGCTTTGCTTGCAGGGCCCCCTAGTGAGTTTGGGCTCAGGTGAGTCTGGAGCATGTGGCACCCAGCACGGAAATATCAGAAAGGTCTGTTCTTTCTTGCAAGAGCTGACAGTCAAGCAGACGAGGACAAAACAGGGAGAACCACAGAGACGCCTCTTCAGTCTCCAGATCTTGCGGGCCTCTTGATCGCAGAGGCAAATGAATTGCTGGAGCCGAGCACCTTGTCTAACACTCCACAGGACGGTAAGTTCCTTTCCCATCCCCTGCTAGACAGCCAAATGTCTGACTCGGTGTAGCTCCTGTGAAAAAGAAGCAGTTCTGTTGTGCAAGGAAGACAAAGGCAAACCCTGCATAGTCCAGTGGTGCGGACAGGCTCTCTGCAGGGCTTTGGATGTAAAGTGTGACTCAGCCAGTCCTGGGATGTGAAGCCACTGCCGTGACTCCAAGAGGTAGTTTGGGGAGCCTCAGGGCCAGGGTTCTGCAACCCCAACTTACAATATTTATGTAACCCTCCAATAACCAAAGTTCTGGGAGAGGTTTAAATTAAAAATTAAGACTCAGGAAAGAATGAAAGGAGATTAAAAATGAGATTAAAAAGTTTAACTGTGGAAAACCAGAGTAAAAACAATAGGGTCAAGTAGCATTTGTGCCAGACTGAAAAAGCAGTAAAAGATTTTAAGATGGAAAAGCCTGAGGGAACCAGGAGCACTGTAGCAGGCACAGAGAACCTCAACGGATGTGCCAGGGGGTCTTCTCAGAAAAGCACAGCCAGGATCCAAAGGGCATCGCAAGTAGGCTCTGCATTTGTTCTTCTGCAAAATAGCAGTCAGAAGATTTTGGCCCATCTAGGAGACAACTGCCCCTTGTTCAGTTGCAGAAAACCTTCTGGGTGAGCTAGCTATTTATTTATTGTGAGCTAAATAAGTTAGGCCCCAACGGGAGCCAGTAGGTCTTCTATTCCCCATATTAGCTTCAGAAATGCTCTCTCGTACCACACTGCCACTGCTGGTGCTTCCCTCGTGGCTTCCATGGGGCAGACGCCTGTATTTCTCCTCCCCTTCGCTCTGGTCCTGCTACAAAAGCAGACCTTGATCCTGAGAGCCCCTTTCCCAGTGCTGCCGACAAAGGTAGTGCCAGGTAAAGGAGAAAGAATGAACACATTGTTTTCTTCACCTACTGCTGCAACAATTTCGTTCCTGTTTGCAAAGTGGATGAGGGAAACGAAATCTCTCTCTTGCAACTGCAAAGATGAAAGGGAAAGGCCTGAAAAGGCTTGATCCTCCAATCAGTCACAGAATTCATCCTTTTACAAAATGTGCACTTGCATCCATGTTGGAAAATATGATACTCTGGGGCATCCTTTATCCATTGGGTACCCACTTTGAAAATGGGCGCATTATTCCTCTGTGAAAAAGCCCAGTTTTCCTCTTTGGGGATGGTGGGTGGGAAATGCCCAAACTGAGCAAGGCAAGGCAAACTGAGCATCAAGGTGGGGAAAGGGGAGCCGTTCCAGCCTCTAAGCCCCGGTTTGACCATCATGGGCTGTCAGAGAGAGGGGTGAAGGAAGAGCCCCAGGGCAAAGGGGTAGTTGGGGAGGGGGCTTGGAGACTCTCGGGCAGGTGGGGCAGAGGGCTGGCATGCAGCTGGCGGAGAAAGCAGAAGGGGTTCTCCTCAGGCTCTGAATAAAACCCGAGCTGAAGAACCCCTCGGGCTGGCGGGGCAGCCAACAGCGGTCCTGCCACCGGCCACCAGCATTCCCCGGCGCTGAGGACGCACAGTGCCATCTCTGGCATAGAGGCCGACGCGAGAACCGGTGGCCTTTTATGCCAGGCGAGTGGAGTCTGCAATGTCCAGTGTCACCGTGCTGGCACTCTCTGAACTTCCGCCCTGTTTTGCTTGTCTTGACAGCTCTCCTGCAGGACTGGGATGGCTGCCCAGCTGGGGACGGTGCCCCGGACTGCCGAGAGTGAGTACCCAGGTGGCCTCTCCCCAGTGGCGGCCACCCCATCCCCCAGAGCTCCTTCAGCGCAAGGCTTGCCTCTCTTATCGCCAAGGGTCCAGCAGGGCCCACAGACAAAAGCCCTCTTCTTCCTCACTGCGACCTGCTGGTCCACCCGCCCGCCTGCCCGTTGCCTGGCCCAGATACGAGGTGCCACTGCTGACTCGCTCCTGGCCTCTCCGCCTGCTCCTCAAGCAGGGAATGGCGAGAAATGGGGGACAGAGAAGCAGTTGCTGGTGACAGTGGCACTGAGAAGGGAGGCTCACCACCACAGGAGGCCCGTCCAGGATGCCTTTCCCCCGGGCCCTCGGGAGCCTGCTGCAGGTGCTGTACCCCCACAGCAGAACCTTTCTGTGGCACGCACACTGCCAAGGGGAAATATGGCAGTCAGGACCTCAGGTTGCTCCTCCCCATTACCCCACCAGACCTTCTGAAATGTCATCAAGAATTACCAAGCACAGCGGCCATAAGGACTGGAAGCTTGCTCCTCCGCCTCATCCCCAGTTCTGAACCCTGAAGCTGGAAGCACACTGGATCTTGCACAACCCAGCTGCCCATGTGAGAAATAAGCACTGCCCGGGAAAGAAGCATTCACGCAACACCAGCCGCTTACAACAGAATGACCCGGAATAGCTGAGCTCATTCTGCCCCTAGGAGCTTACAGTTTAACGTTTGACAGAAGCTCCCTCCACGGTCACTGGACGACTTGGACCAAATCGCGTCTAGACTGCTGCATTGGGAATGAAGACTGAGTCAGGGAGCAGCATTGCGGTCCCGACATTTTTAAATACAGGGCAGTGTCTGTGCATGGCCCCCCAAGAGATCTTAGTTCAGTGCTGAAAATGATTTGCATTAGGATCAGGAAATTTTCTTGGCAATTCACAGATACCTGAGTTATCCAAGGTTCTTTGAAAATGTGATTGAAAATGCATTATAGTTGATTAAAGATCAAGCACATCTCTTCTGCTATCCCGTCTGCCAGACCACCCACGGTTTCCTGAAATGCAACATTTTTGCTCATTCCGTTTGCCCTATAGGGGATCTGCTGCATCCAGCCTGCAGTTTTTCCTCTTCTCAGTTGCTTTCCAGTATGAAAAGGCACGTGGGTGGAAATGGCAGCTTGGGATTGGCACATATAAGGATGGGAAACAATTATTTGAATGTAAGCTCCCAACTCTGTACCTCTGAAAATAGGCAAACTAGAATTTTATTTATTTATTTAGAAAATTTCTATGCCGCCCCATTCACCGAAGCCTCGGGGCAGCTCACAAATATATCAATTAAAATATTATACAATAAAAATATAAAACAAGTTAACAATATAAAATAAGTCGCCCTGGCTGAAGAATAAAATAAATAAATAGTATTAGCAGTTAAAATGACGTTTGAATAAAAAGGTCTTTGCCTGGCGCCGAAAAACAAATAACAACGGCGCCAGGTGGACCTCTCTGGGGAGCGCATTCCATAGATTGGGCGCCACTGCAGAGAAAGCCCTCTTCCGAGTACTTACCTTCCTAATATCCTTCACGGAGGGTTCCCGGAGAAGGGCCTCTCCCACAGATCTCAGGGGGCGGACGGGCATATATGGACGTAAGTGCTCCTTCAGGTAAACAGAACCCAAGCCGTTTAGGGCTTTATAGGTCATCACCAACACCTTGAATTGGGCCCGGACTTCAATCGAAAGCCAGTGAAGCTGACGGAGGACTGGGGTTATATGAGAACAATGCCCAGCCCCCGTCAGCAGCCTGGCAGCTCTATTTTGAACCAATTGAAGTATCCGGACCATCTTCAAGGGTAGCCCCACGTAGAACGCGTTACAGAAGTCAAGGCGGGAAGTCACCAACGCATGTGTCACTGTCGCCAGGCAGTCGTACTCCAGTTAGGGGCGCAGCTGATGGATCAGCCAAAGCTGAAGGAAAGCGCTCCTCGCCACTGCTGTCACCTGAGCTTCCAGTGAAAGCTCTGGGTCGAGGAGCACTCCCAAGCTGCGGACCTTGTCCCTAAGAAGGAGTGCAACCCCATTCAGGACTAGGTTCAATTCACCCTCACTGAAGCCTGATCCGCCAACCAACAGGACCTCCGTCTTGTCTGGATTGAGTTCAGTTTATTGGCCCTCATCCAGCCTATTACCTCGGCCAGGCACCGGTTCAGCACAGCCACTGCCTCACCTGGATTGGTGGAGAAAGAGAGGTAGAGCTGGGCATCATCAGCGTATTGATGATTCCGCAGCCCACACCTCCTGATGACCTCTCCCAGCGGTTTCATGTAGATGTTGAATAGCAAGGGGGGCAAAATGGACCCCTGCAGAACTCCATGGCATAGCTGCCATGGTGCAGAGCCATAGTCCCCCAGCACACCTTATTTGCCTTTCTTATGAAATCTAACCTTTGCCCAATGTTGCAATTTAGTTCTCATCTTGAATAATACATACAAACGTGGGGATATTTGGAAGGAATGCACACAAGAATGCATACATTGATGAAAATAATGCTCAAAGTGCATTACATTAGAAAAACTGCGAATGAAAAGAACTTATTGGGCAGAATTGCACACAGAAAAGCACAAAATACAAACAAAAAAGCAACCGCATTTGAATGCAAAGCAAGAAAAAATAGTTCAGGATGAACTGAACATATGATTGGAAAAATGGGAGAGGAACTGAAATCAATACGTCCGTCCATCCCATAGTCTACTGAACGTTGCACAGATATTTTGCAGGATTGCCTCCTGTGAGGGTGCACAGCGTGAGATGTGGGCACGGGAACAGGCTGCCGCACCCTGGAGGCCAGTGCCACTGAGGCAGCTTCTGCAGGGAGGCACCTCCAGTTCTTAGATCATTCTTCCCCCAGGCTCCCAGGTACTGCTCATCAAGGCTCTGGAAGCTGCAAAGGGTTGGGAACAATCCTGCCACTACCAGGGACCTTGTCCTGGTGCCAGGCCAGCAAATGTTGCCCTGGCGCTGCCCAGATCCTGACACCTCCCCCCCCCCGCCACTGTTGCCCCTCCATTTGAGCTCCAGCCACACACCTCCCAGAGCAAAGAACAGCAAACCACAACAGTGGGGGACGTGACGTGGTCCAATCTCCTTGCTCATGTGGCCCGCCGAGTGGCCAAAGGCAAAAAGCTGTCCCAGCAAGAAGGGGCAGCGGGGCCGCTGGGTTTGCACCAGGCCCACTTGCAAGACTGGGTCTCGGGGGTGCCTGGGACGCTGCCCCCTGCGGAGAGCTGAATTCTCCAGGCTGGAGTTCAGTGCTGGCTGTGGGCTCGGGAGCGCCTCAGGATCCTCCCCTTTGCCAGGACTGTCCCAGTCGCCTTTTCTGCTCCCCTTCTTTCTGCTACTCACTCACTGGGCAGGGGGCCAAGGGCAGGGGGCTTGCAAGCTGTGCCTCCTCAGCCCCACAATTGTCCGAGCCCAGAGCAAGAGATGGGAGGCCAAGCGGGGGGGCGGGCGGCAGAGCAACTTCAGGGGGCTCTTTGCAGTGGGAAGCCCCCAAGACAGGCACGAGTGCAGTATTGGTCATCTTCTGCCCCTCATGTTCACTGGCCACCAGGATCCAAAGGCAGGCTGCTTCCGGCTTTGAGGAAGCGTGCGGCCAGGAGGATGAGTGGCCATTGGTAACTTTACTCCCCCAGATTGCATGGCAGATGGAGCAAGGGAGAAACCATTTGGACCAGGCTTCCCCAGCCTGGAGTCCTTGAGATGCTTTGAACTTCAGTTCCCAGTAACCCCAGGTAGCAGTGTGGCCTATGGTCAGGAATGATGGGTATTGGCATCCAAAACAGCAGGGGGGAACAAGCGGGAGTGCGCCAACATAAGGCAGGCCAGCTTTGAACAGCCACACCAACTGCTCACACACACCATGCCTGCATTACGACCAGCAGCAGCAGGAGGCAGGGATGAAGAAGACGATTTGGAATCCTTAGTCCATTTTCTGTTGCTTTGTGTGCTGCTGCTTTTTCAGAATTGATGAAGATGCAAACTATTTTTCAAGTCTTGCAGGCCATAAAATCCCATTGCAAAATTAACACAAGACAGGGCTCTTCTATGTGGCATCTGCAAGGCCAGACTACGGAGCTATTCCTCCTTTACTTCTGTAGCAAGGGCCGGAGGGAGTCCTTCTTCCCAAAAACCTCTGGAGGCAGGAGGCAAGCTCACCCCCACCCCTCATGGAGCCCCAGGGCAACACAGCCAGAGTGGCACAAGCAGGATGCCCATTCACGCACAGCTGCAAACACAGAGAAGGGGGGCATTCCGACATGTTGTGATTGCCCTCCAACCCACCTATAGCTACTCGTTTGTGGTGGTCTCCAGCTCACTTTTTCAAAGTGCCAGATGGGCCCACAGGCCCCCAAAGGCCAGAGTCCCTAATATCCAGAAGAACAATCTCATTTCTCCAAGACCCATTCTCTTTCGTGATCCCAGTCTAGAACTGAAGGAGCCATTGCTTTTCTGGGTTCTTTTGCCTATGGTGTGGTCTGATCCCTTCTTGTGATGTGACATAACATCTGTTCTAAATTTTCCAGTCACCTGCACCAGAAGACAACATGGCCCCTTCCTCCAAGCCAGAGCAGTGACGATGACCTGCAGTCCACCAGCATCTTCCAGGATTCTTCTGAGAAGCCTGCATAAGTCCTTCTGCCTTGATAGACTCCCATTCTTAATCTTGTGTATTCAGAATCTGGACAATTCTGCTCTGGAGGCAGAAATAGAATGACTCAGAACTGAAAAGAACTGGACGTGTGTTTCTCAAGAAGAGAAACTCTCCCAACCCATCAAGATTAAACAACAATCCCATCTTCTGGAAGGCCACCTCTGGAAGGCTATAGATGAGGCCAATCTCCATTACTCGGCAGCTTTAGTGGGTGGGTGGGGGGACATTCGTGGGAAGTGTTGCTGCGAAATTCTTGAACTTCCCAGGCTGGCGGTTAGAGGACTACTGACTTACCATAACAGAAGCACCAACGTCTAGTTGGGGGTCACCCAGAATTTCTTCAGATTTCTCATGAAATACCAAAGGATACTTTTCAGGCTGTAGGTTGTTGTAGTTTTTCCTTCTTAGCTATGTATAGATGTCTTTGGACACATCTTGCTCTCAGTTGTGTGAAGAATTCTTTGAAGTGTAGCACTGGAAGGTAAGGTGATGAACCACACAAGGGTTTCTTCCCTGAAAGAAGCAGCACTAAATAACAAAAAATGATATGGCTCTCCAAAGGCTGCATTAAGACTGGAGCAGGCTTTCTGGACTACCCATCTCAATAGCAAACCTAAAAAATGGTGAGAAATAATACAATAATTAGGGATGGATAGATTGATGGGGGTGGGGAGGTAATGTGACTAGCAAATACTGTGTTAGAGATCAGATGTGAGCACACAGTTTTGGCAAATAAAATAACGATACAGCCCTTGAGACTAGAGATGACTAACGGAATTATGTCAATTAAATTGTTTGTTTCCTGTCCTTATGATTAACATTTAAAATATGTTAACTCCCCAACAAGTCAAGGCAATCTACAGAATATTTGAAGAATTAACATCACATTGCATTTTCTATTTGCCTTTCTTCATCTTGCAAGAGGAAAGACTTACAAAGTTCTCCACTTCTCCATTTTATCCTCACAACAACCCTGTGAGGTAGGTTAGACTCAGAGTCCCTGATTTGCCCAAAGTCAGCCATTGGGCTTCATGACCAAGTGGGGACTAGAACCCAGATCTCCTGAGTCCCAACTCCAGCACTCTTAACCACTAAACTACACTGGGTGTTAATACTACAGTTAAAACTGTTACTGTACCATACATAAACAACTGTGAAGCTTTGTTCAAACATCCACCCATAATGCTACTTTTACAAACTTTTGAAACAAAGGAACTTTTTAAAAACAAGAAACTTGTGTCAGGCATGTTCTTATACATCTTTTTACTGATTAAAATATTTGTATTCCCCTCCTTTATCTTCAATAAATCTTAGAAAACAGAGGTGCCAGATGACTGGGGAAGGGCTAACAATGTCCCTATCTTCAAACAGGGGGAAAAAGATGAACCTGAGAACTAAAGACAAGTTAGTCTGACATCAATCCCTGGAAAAAATCTGCAGCAAATAATTAAAAAATCAGACTGCAAGTATCTTGAAGAAAATGCAGTGATTAATAGAAACCAACATGGATTTAATGAATAATTCCTGTCAGACTACTTTAATCTCATTTTTGGACTGTGTAAACTCCCAAATGGACAGAGGGAACACTGAGGACATAATCTACCTAGATGTTAGCAAAGCTTTCAACATGGTGCCCCATGACTTTCCAATAAACAAATTAGCAAAAAGCAAAATAGAAAAACTATTAGGTGGATTCAAAAGTGGCTGCTAAATTGGACACAAAGAGTGCTCATCAATGGCACTTTCTCAAACTGGAGAAAGGGAATTAGTGAGGTGCCGCAGGGTCCAATCCTGGGCCCAGTGCTCTTCAACATCTTTATTAATAATTTGGGTGAGGAAGTACAAGGAAAGATAATCAGATTTGCAGATGATACAAAACTGAGTGGAATAGCAAACACCCTAGAAGACAGAATGAAGATCCAGGCAATTTTGATAAATGTGAACACTAGGTGAAAGCAACAGAATGAAATTCAATAAGGACAAGTGCCAAGTCCTCCACCTAGGAAAAAGAAACCAAAGGCATTGATACAAGATGGGGAATTTGTGGCTCAATGAAGCTGAAAAAGACCTAGAGTAATTGTGGGTGGCAGGCTAAAGATTTGCCAACAATGCAATGCAGCTGCCAAAAGGGTAAATGTTATTTTGGGATGCATTAAAGTATTATTTCCATTCTGCCTGAAGCTGAGGAATTGGACGTTCTCCTGGCAATGGGTTTGGACCAGGTGAAAGCGGCCATAAGGCAGACGCTGTTAGATATTGAATGACAAGAGGTGATCAGCAGCACTCCCAACTTCCCGGCTGTGCAGAGAGTTAGATATGTCATTCCCCAGCTGCCCACCTCTCGCTAACAGGGCTCCCGAGGCATAGGTGGGCTTTCTTTCTAGTCAGATGGAGAGCACTCCACTTGGGTATAATTGAAGGCAGCTACATGGGGATTCTCTTGCCCGAAAGAGCTTGCTCCTGTGGCTCAGGAGAAGAGGAAACAACAGAGCATGGCCGTTTTTACTGCTCGCTTTACCAGGAAGTACACGATAAGTTTATCCTCTCCCTGATTAGAAAATTTACTGGCCACTTGGATGCAGAGGTGGACAAGATAATCCTTATGGGAACTAACCACAGATCACAGCCCAGAGAGTGAGTTTTTCAGCAAATGCTTGTAAAAAGGATATTGTCCGTAATGAGTATAAATGGTAACATCTGCCTTTTTAAAAAAAATACAATGAGTATCATCATCTGTTTGGATTTTAAATCTAAATGTACAGTGACCGGGATTTACACATTGTTTCTTTCATAATGCTGGTCATTGCCAGTATTAATAAACTGATTGATTGACTCCTACATAAGTAAGCTTTGGACGTGATTTAGGGCTGAACTCTTTCCACATCTACCTGGGAGTCGGCCTTGAACCACTGAACCCAGTGAGCACAGTCCGTGTGTGCTGCGGGTGAGTCATGATCGTCGGGGCGCCAGTACTCTTAGCTAGTTCTGCACAGATGGGCACCTCACTCAGCAAGCACGGGGAGACGCTTTCCAGAAGGGCTGCCAGGTCGCCCCTTTGCAACAGAAGTCTTGTGCTTCTTTAAAGACAAGCAACCGCTTTCCCCTTTGCAAACCATCTTCTCGGGCCTTGGCTCTAACACGATGAAAGCAAAAAAATAAACAAAGCAAGCCTCCCCCCAAACCCCAGCCGGCCGCGAGGCCCTTCCCTCGCAGCCGTTAGCCTGAATGGCTAATCCAATAGCCATTAGTGGCTGAAGAGCCGCCAGTACATGCAGTACATGCACCACGTATAATGTAGATGCACACAGTCCATGGGGGGGATACGTAGAGGCATATTCGCGTTGCGCCGGCACGTGCACCTGCATACACACGTGTGCACGCATCCCCACCTCCACAGCGACGAAGAGGCTGCGGTAAGCCGTCTACCCAATCGGCGGGCGGCCGCGGGCGCAGCCTCCGCACCGCGCGGGTAGGCGTGGCCTGGGCGCGCAGTGGGCGTGGCGCCAGGAGCCGC